CGCGCAACAAATCTAATGTAATACCTATTACTCATCGTACCACAGAGGCGTGTTATAAAAGATGCAAAAACCGGTTGACCATAATTTTAATACTTCGCCGATCAATAAAACTCTATCACGTTCACATCGTTATCCGTATCGTTATCAAGTCCATGCACTTAACTTTTAATATTGGAATAGATACAAGAAGGATTCATTTGATTTGTGTTTTTAGCTGTAACTTTAATTGAATAATCTACTATTGTTACTCACGCTGAATTACAGTTGTTTGTTTCGGTTATACTCTATTTTCGAGATTGTCCATCTAGTTTCGGACACGATACGACTTCTCATTCATGAACCTAGCGAAACATAGTCGTAGAATATAACTATATAGGATAGATAAGTTAGTAAAGCCGATGTAAATAATTATAACTTTAGTTGAATTATATTGTTTTATTGATAATAATCTAATCGTTTTAATAATATTTATTCGGTTGGTGTAATAACATTAGCTTATTTATAAAAATATTATTTATTTACTTACAGTATTTGTGATATCTATTATGTATGTTTTAAAATGTTACTTTTACAAACAAAATACTGTAAAAGTTAAGTACATACATAAAATATGAAAAAATATTAAATATAAAGAATAAATGATGAGTAATTCACATTGGCCGTGTGCCGCCCTTCCCTTCCCGTGGGTGTCGTAAAAGATGACTAAGGGACGGCGAGGGATGGGCAGCAGCGTCCCTCTTAAAACATCTCTAAAGCCTGTCTGAGATTGCCAATCCACCTGCCAGTGTGAAAACTGCTAACAAAACTCTCCGAAGGAGAGGCTTATGGTTAGCAGTGGACGGCTAAGGGCTGACATGATAAATACACCTAGTTAAATTACCCCATATGTATCTTTAAATTACAACTTTACTGATATTCTAGATCAAGATACAAAATAAGCAATTTTACTTTATTAACAAGGTAGAATATTTTGCTTATTTTACTTACCTACTTATTATACTTAAACTAAGAAACCAATACTTTTCTGTAGCAACATTAATGTAATTTTTATAACCATTTTTAAAGCCATAATTTCTAACTTAATCCGCTTAAAAATTAACCCATTATATGTTAAACACAAAAACTATTGTAAATAATAAATATAAATTGTGATAATTGAAATTTCTTTTGGATTAAACCCGCTTAGGTATGATAGTTGAAATATAAGAGTCGTTACGTACCAAAAGAATTTCACTCGGGAATAACCTACATGATTGTTAAGAAAATTCAAAAGACAAACATGACTCTCGTAGAAATACAACCTTAATCGCAACCAAAATCAATCATAAGTACAACCATCTTAAGTATAAGAAACCAGGTCAGGAACATCTATACAAAAAGATTGGGACGATATAAACAATCGTGTTTCTTTTCCTGAGGATAGTAGCCACTTGGATAATAAGTAAACTGCAAAGTGTCAAAATGGTTGTTTTTAAAGCAAGTATACGAAGAAGAGGGACAGTGCATTCTATTACCGATAGAGATGGTGGCCTCTTACGAAAAACGAAAGTTTGTTTGTACACCTTGCATAAAAATAGGAAATCAACAATCCATTCCACGCGCGAGGTTTGTTCACAAAATTTAGACGCGACGGAACGTCTCGTGAAATTTTTCTATAATAGTTTTATAGAACTAGCTGTATCTCTTGGCTTAGCTCGTGTAGATCATTATATAAAGTATCTTATGTTTTAAGTTTGATTATAACCTATCCATGCCCAAAATTTCATTCAAATTTGTTTAGTAATTTTGGCATGAAATACAAATCCATTTATTCAAATATTAATAAATAAAATATTAATAAAATATTATACAAATTTTCTTTAATTTTTCTTAATAATTAATATAAAAGTAAATAAGGTAGGTTTTACATCAAATGATTACATTAGTTCTTTAATGTCCTATTGCCGATCTTCACGGGTATCTCCCGATGAAATGAGGCTAAAGTCGTTCTGTTATCGATATTACGCTAACCAGAAGCTTAGGGTACAATACACCTGCAGCGGTGGACAAAGCTTGTCAGAAGCCTGGGATGGCAAAGTTGAATAAGGCCCTTAGTTAAAAAAGTTGATTTAATTTTACAACCCTTTCTAATACAATTCTTATTTGTAAGTATAAGTGTTTATGTTTATTTAGTTAAAATCTTGTAAATGAAATTTAAATTACACTTCAATAAACATACATAGAATATGGATGTGGATGAAGTTGAGGCATTTTGAGGACCCTAGGACCACAGGCTTGGGGCAGGCCGCCATTTCTGCCCTCCCGTTAATCCGCCATTGACCTTCTGCAATAGTATGTATGTATTGTGCATTGTATTCGCCTTTTACGACATTCTGATAATGAAAAGGCGTGTTGGCACGTATTTTTCCTTGCGGTTCTGGACTAGACTAACTGTTTCCTGCGGCTCTGCTTGCGTGCACAATATATAAGGTATGCTGTGTGCTAAATTAAGATGTAACCCGCTCTTGTACTAAATTTTATTGAAATCCATTCAACCGTTTAAGCGTGATTGAAAACAAGCATTTTTGTAAATTTGTACAATTAGTATCAATAGGAATTAACAAAAATAATTTATACATCCGACTACCTCAACAAGAATTAATTTCGACGTCTAGTCTAGACTGTAACTTAATAACCATGAGTTGGAACAAAATGGTTTTGAATCACCTCACAGTGTGTCTATTGTTACCCATCTCATTTTCACACTAATCATACTTTTGTGATCTACCTACCTAATTAATCGTATGGAAGTATATACTCGTAATTAGCTGTATTAGTTTGAATTTATAGGTATATACTATAAAAAAAGGTTATACTCGTTTCATACTCTTATGACATCATATCAACTAATTATATTTTTTCCAACCGACTTCTAAAGAAGGAGGTCGTCAATTCGGTTGATTTTTTTATGTTTGTTATTTCAGAACTCCATCAGTTATAAACCAATTTGGAAAGGTCTTTTTTATCTAAAAGGATGATGATGAGGATAATGCACTTGCAAATTTGTTTCATGGAACTTTTATCAAAATCGATTCAGTTGTTAACTGGTTTTATCGTAATTGAAGTTGGTTTTTATTTTATGTGGAACAGTTTTAATTATTATCAGGTTAAAATATTCCATTTTTAATCCCGCCTGCTCTATCAGTATACGCTGGCGGGGCTACAGTAAGAGATGATACGTGACGATCAAAAATCGTTAGTTGGCCTGTCGTGACGAATTCAGCAAAAATTAATCACGATAATTTCTAGGGAAACCAATTGAAGGTCGAGTTGATATATTTATTGCTGGCAATGGTTCTTTCTAACCCCATTACTAACAATCCCTTTTCCCTCCTCTAATTATGTTAAGTACAGTTAGAGTACGAGTATTTGCTTTAAACGTGATGTTAATTTTTTAATCAATACTAAACTTTGATAGGTACCTATGGTAAATACTTTATTTCGGAGTAACTGTATCCCGCGACTGCGTTAATTATTAAATAATGTATCCTAACTTTCCGTTAAGTTAGGATAAAGCACATCTATCTATGTACCAAATTTTATTTTTCTTGTAAAGATAAAAAATTGTGTGTATGGTAACTACATAATTATAAATTATTTAGACGGATTTAATTGATTTTATATAATCAGCTTTAAAAAAATAGTTTCTATATTAATTTTCATCTCCTAGTTTACCATACACCTAGAGCCTCGAACAAATCTTTAATTTAGTTAAAAATGTAATCGATAAATATTTCCCCTTGATTATATAATTATTATTACTCTTTTAGTTTTACTCTTAATTCATTGCATAAAAGTATTTTTACATTAACTTTTATGCCTTATATAATAGACTTAGGGGATGAATTTTGAAAAATACTGAAGTTAAATTTCATTACTTTTATATTATTACAAGTATATATGTAATTAATTTCAAGTAAATCAGATAAAACAACACACTTTCTCATACACATTTCCACTCCAGTTTTTGCATGCGTTGGGGTTGAATTTTGATAAATGCTGCAACTAACAGTCATTATTTAAGGGTTTTAATAGTAAATGTCTTTAATTTTTTTTTTATTTTCATACGTATGTTGGTATAATACTCTAAAACATTTCAATGTGTCGTTTTAAGGTTATTAAGTTATTATATAGGTACATATCCTATCAGTACGCACAACTATTTAAGTATCGCTATAATAAACTTATTCATGTTAAATTTAATAAACGAATGTTATTTTTGACAAAAAATTTGTCAGATTGTTTGGTATGTCAAGACATCACAAATTATAGTATTAGAACGTTGTTTATAAATTTATATTTTCATATTTATTATAGATAAATTATTGTAAAAACTTTAATCATACAGACATTAATGTAAAATAAGTGATATATTATGATTTATGTTCTATTGACAGCAGGAAAGAAATAGTGAGCACCGAATGTTTTTACTTGTAAATAACCTACCTAATCACACTAAATTAAAATTTAGTATTTAGAGTAGTGCGCACTCACACGCACTGTTCACTTGAATGTTGAATGTGAACTGTAGTGTCCGGGAATGTATCACTGCATTAGTGCATCTTGACCGTTTCACCGTCTCATACCATCACTCCAGTCACGTATCATCGTTAATATTCATCACTTAATTGTTCACAAATTCATTCATAAATTATTATATTCCGAGCATGGCATTGCATTTTCCGGCTCTACTCGCATATAAATGACTTTTTAATACTCAAGTATCCACTGACCAAGTATCGTTTTTTGCATGATTTATGCCGGTTGCATGCATATTACAAAATAATGTCGCCCACTCGGTGATTTTATACAATATCGCACCAGTGCCGTGTTTTGTGTAGTTCAAACAGTAGGCAGGTATGAACTGAGTTAGTATTTGGGTCGGCTATTTTGAGACTAGCCATATGACCCCCTGAAATAGACGCGTTATTTGTGCTGATGTAATTATTTTATGCGTGTAGGTACTGTCGATGAGCGATGAACTTCGCCGGGCGCTGTACTCATCGGGCGCCTCCGTCGACATGGAGTTCTCCCCGCCTGACCTCATTGGCACCTCCGAAATATTCACAATGGAACACAGGTATGGTATAAAGAAAATAAGAGTCATTACATCTGCTTGTTTACAAGTATGATCAAGAGACAAAGAAAAAAATCGATAATTATAAAAATTATAAATAATAAATTTAAGTAGTTGATAACGTGACTCTTGATAAGTGCCTATTTTTATTTTTATGGATGATAATGGAATGGTAACCCCGCCTGCGCTAACAGTATACGCTGGCGGGGCACCAGTGATAGATGATAGGTGAGGATGAAAAGGCAGGTCAGTTAGCCCATCGTGATGAATACACTTGGAATTTAGCACGATGGTTTCCAGGGGAGACCACGGGGAGGTCGACCTGTTAGGGTATATTATTAGCAATGGAACTGATAATTCGCATTACTAACAACCCCTTCTCCCCAAATAAGTGCCTATTTATAACCATTAACATAATAGTGTTTAAATTTTTAGTATAATTAATCATATTCGATCGAACTAATCGATATGGAATTTGATATACCTTTAAATTTTTTTTTATACTACAACTTAGAATGGCAAAGAAGCTGACGGCCCACCTGATGAAAAGTGGTAACCGTTACCTATAGACATAAGCAGTACCATGGACATAACAGAGTATACTCTTTCGCCCATGATACCCCCATGCGTTGTCATTCCTGAGGACTCAGGTGTTATTTTTCTGTGCCCAGTAAATTCACGCCATATCCTACCCTTCAAACCGAAACACAGCCATGTAAACGCAACTGCTTCACGGTTAAAACACGAATAGGACAGAGGCACCCAAGCAATCGACTTTTGTACAAAGTCTCCCTCTGGTACCTTTAAATGGCTTCTTGAACATTCTTTTTCAAGGGATAACAGTATCACGCAAAGGATGTTTATTCCACTTGAATCTCTACTTGGGTTCTCTGCAGAATGCATGACTGACTAGGAGCTGTGCTTGTATAGCTGTGATTCGGCTTTAAGCAAAGTGTATACCATGACACGAGATATAATACCGTTACTCCTTAGGAGTGACAACTGTGAAATATTGGGGGGATGGGATTGTTAGTAATGAGAAGGTTACTTTCCATTGGTATCTATATACCTTATCAGGTGGACCTCCACGCGGGTTCCACTGGAAATCATCGTGACTAATTTATCGTTGAATTCATTACGATGGGCTAACTAACTTGCTTTATCATCCCTCACTGGTGCCCCGCCAGCGCAATACTTATACCGTTAGCGCAAGCGGGGTGCCAATTCCATTATAACCCATTAAAGAAAACTGTGAAATACTATTAGGTGTCACAGATTGTTTTGTGATGTACATCGCACTGTTCATATCTATAGGCGACAGTTGTCACTTTCCAACAGATAAATAGCATATACAATTAAATTTAAAAAATAATAATAACCAATTGTCAATTTCCAGAGAGAAGATATGCACAGTGTTACCAGCGCGTGCGCAGGGCTACATGTGGTCATTGGCGTTCAGCACGAGCCAGCACGGTTTCTCGCTCGCATCCATGTACCGGAAAATGCAACGGGTCGACAGTCCGGTTCTACTCGTTATACAGGATACAGACAACAATGTATGTTTTTATATCTGTATTTACCAAGAGTCTCTCAAAGTGTGGGTTGCGATCGCCTATGGGGTTTGGGGTCGTTATCCTAGATAAGGCGCCTAGTCACTGGCCGACGGGAACCGGTATGATAAGCATAACAAATTGTAATGGTTTATAAAAAAAATTGTAAAACACTGTATTAGATCTGTCAATTTAACATCATCATCGTCATCAGTTTAACATTTGCATACCTCTACGGGGTGCTGCATGTTATGTACCTGTATATGTAACTTCTTATTGTACCATGTAGCAATTTTTTTTTTATACAACTTAGAATGGCAAACAAGCTGACGGCCCACCTGATGGAAAGTGGTAACCGTCGCCTATAGACATGAACAGTACCATGGACATAACAGAGTATACTGTTTGGCCCATGATACCCCCCATGCGTTGCCATTCCTGAGGACTCAGGTGTTATTCCTCTGTACCCAGTAAATTCACGCCGTATCCCACCCTTCAAACCGAAACACAGCCATGCAAACACAACTGCTTCACAGTTGAAACACGAATGGGACAGAGGTTAAAAATAGTTTCTTAAGTTAAATAACGTCAAAAACATAATTTGGAATTATTAACAAGTCACTAATCTAGTTATTAGGATTTTATCATCCTTGGAAAATAACATGCCTGAAGTGATTGGTAAAGTATTTGTTGATGGGTGTAGGGTCAGAGAGGAATTCTCATTTCAGTTTTATTAGATAAAAAATATGTATCTGAAGTTGTAATAATAACCCACAAACTAGATTCTACTTTTCAAAAAAGGAGACTTGTGAGAAAATGTCCGTCCAGTCCAACACTAAGTAGAGTGGGAGTCAATCCTGTCGATGATAAAATCTTACTAATATAATAAAACTATAATTAGACGATGTCTTTACATGGGATATGTTTAAGAAAATTAATATGAGGTATTTTAAGACCAATAGACGCCAAAATAATTAATTGTAGAAATTTTCTTTGTATGCTTGTTCTAGCAATACGCTAAAACTATCTACCAAAGTGGATGCGGTTCCCACAATTGTTTCTGAAAAGTTTAACATAAAAACTGATTTATGTGTGATATTTACGATACGCCATTTAGAAGTTGTATATTTAATTAGTTTTCTTACTTCTGTAATCCACTCGTACGAAGTAGTGGGCAAAAAGCTAATGCATTATAAATATAACTGGTGAAAATATGTCGCATAGCATATTTTTTATATGCTATGCGACATATTTTCGCCACACAGTAATAAAATAAATGTGTAGTTGTAGGTATTTAAAATTTCTAAAAGATGTTACTTGGCAACAATGTTAGATTTGGGGGTTTTATATATATTAAATATTTTTCTTTCAGGTGTTTGGAGGTTTGACATCGTGCGCTTTGCACCCCTCGGAGCATTTCTACGGCACTGGGGAATCTTTACTGTTCTCATTCCAACGGGTACAGGACGAGCCTCGACGGCCTTCACAGCCTGCAGTAGAGCCAAAGAAGGAAGCTGATAATGAAGAGGAGCATCCAGAAGAAAAAGGAGGTAAGACAGTCATATTTTGTTTAAATATTCTACATTTAGGCATGAAAATGGAATAGTACACCCACCCACTCTACCAGAGATAATGACTATTTCTAAAAACATTTAGCCAACAGTATTAAACAGGCGCTACCTCTTTTACAGATCAACCTACACAAGTAAAAACAAAATTCAAGTATTGGGGTTGGACTGGCGACAACATGTATTTCATTCGAGGAAGCACCGACAACATATCTATTGGTGCTGGCGAGTAAGTAGATATTTTTTCATTTTTATAATATTTTTAAATAATAATAATAATTCAATGTGGTTCATTATGGCGAAAAAAATGTACGCCTAGAGTTGCTCAGTGTATGCACAGGTCTTTAATTAGTGTAATGTTATTATTAAAGACTGAACACAAATTTGTGCGTGGCCATGATTTATTGATTGACAGGGATAACAAGTGAGGCTATGTCCTTTTCCATGCCAAATATGTGTCAACCAAAAGGTAAAGAGGAAACTCACTTTCACATTCAAAATTGAAAAATCGAATCCAACTAATAAATATTATTAAAATTGCAATGTGTCACGTTACAGCGGCAAATTCGGCCTGTGGCTAGACGGGGATCTGTATCTGGGGCGCACCCAACGCTGCACTACGTACGGCAACGAGCCACTGACGACTCGCGAGGACTTCATAGTCAAGATCATGGAGTGCTGGACCTTTATCTGAGCGGCGAGCGCCAACCAAGCCCTCTCGCCGTCTTCCGCGACGCCGCCATCGCCCGCACAGGCTGAAGCGCTCCACGTTTCTACTTTCAAATCAAATTAAGCTTTAGATTATCTTATGAAATTAGCTACGAAGATTTGACACCTTTACAAGTCAATCTATTCGACTTTAGTACTGATGAGTCTGAAAACGATTTTGTACTCGCATTATGACTCGAAACGTAGGGCGCGGGTCGTGACGATCGGCCGCAACAAAGACAGTGTCGAAACGTCTACGCGCACTTCTAGTCAAATGTACTGAACCTGACCAATGTTTTCACCCTCCCCGAATTTAGAGGCGTTCGGATGGAGTGCCGCCGCTCGGCGCCGGCGGAGCGCGCGCTGTCGCCGCCTGCCACCTCGGAGAGCAAGTGCATTAATCCTAGTCAATTGTCGTTTGTATTAAGTTGAAAATGATGAAATAGGAGCTCATAGTTATGAACTCTCTGGTAGACGAGTAGATCGCACCGCCGCACGATCGTGTACGCGGTTGGCGACGGTCGCGCCTCCGCTCCGGTCGTACTTGAGCAGTTCGATAATGATTACGTGTCAATTCATACAAATAATATTGTGCATTGTTGTTAAGGATTAAAAGATATTTGTAACAATCAAAAATCATTGTATAATGTTATGTAGAAGTTTATAACTAACGAATTCATCATTATATTTAGACGCGACCTTTTAGTTTCTTCATTGTGTCGAATTAGTATTTGTTGACTTCGATATGATTGTGGAATGAGGCTAGTCCGGTTGTCGTTCCAGGCTTTTATGACCGACCTGGACTGACATATCAAAAAAGTATGATATTGGAAGGATCATGAATTGGAAACACTGTTTTTTGTGTAAATGATTGTGTACGTTATGTTGTTATGTAGCTATATAAATGTATCGATTGTTTGTGTTGAGTCATAATGTTAAGTTAGTGGACATAATTATGTTACACTTTCACTGTGATTTGATTAGTGGTTGCATTTGATTATAATATTGAAGCATTGTCATTTCATGTGTAGATGTTTGTGGATTTAGTTCATTTCATATGGTGGATTTAGTCTGCGATTAATGTTCATTATGTATGTTATGTTACGCCTACAAAAAAAATTAACAATTTGTATTCCGTAAATTCGTGAATTGTATAACATTATTTTTTATGATATGCTTCAGTACAGAAAATTTGTAGCCGGTACGTAAAATTAATTAAATAGTAAAAATATTTTAAATAGTTATCTTAGAGAGCTTGATGAATGTAATCGTCATTGTGCTTAGTAATCGTGTCACTTAGCATGATGTTAACTCAGATTTATCTGGTCGTATAAATTATTTATTTGTCAGATGTAAGGGCAAGCTCGTCGCACGCAGCGCTGTGTTGCTCGTTTGTTGCAACGGCTTGTTTTTCGTGTATATAACATTTTATTCCTATGTGAGATTAGTAAAGAGATATATTTTTATGTAAAACCACGCGTTCACGGTTGTGTTGTCGACATAATATACAAGCATCGAAAATTAAAAATAATCACTGTCACCATTATGGAAAACAGTATCCTATCAACTATTAGAAGATTCCAGTTGCGCGCGTGTGTACCCATAAATAAATTATATTTTGACATTGTTAATTGTTTGCGTACAGCAGAAACATAATAGATATGAGACTTAGGTTTAAATTAAAATTATATCGGCATAATTATTGTTACAAATTTATAATCATTAGACTTGTTGAGTAGCAGTGAAAAATGTAATATTTATTTTTTATGTTATGATTTTCATCTTACGATTACTGTAGCCACATTATTTTATTGGTGATTTATTATGTAATCTAAGTTGTTAAAATGTGAATCAAGCCATAATAATTGAGAATATATTCTTTTGAAAAAGAACTAATTTTATTTCTTATAACCATACACCAGTCTTAATTAATAATACAATATTTAATTTAATTAATGTTGGTTTCCATAACTTCTGCCACCATAGTGGTAGTCATTGTAATGCCTCCGATTGTGGTTGTCTCTCCTGTGGTGGAACCCTCTCCTGTCATCTCTATTGCCATACCGGTCGTATGAGTGGTCGCGCCTGTTATTACGTCTATCGTTTCTTCGACCAGGACCTTGTGGCACCCACCATGATGGTATGATTGGTGGTTTTGGGGCATCTGCATTAAATACCTTCATGAATTCTTCATCTTTATCTGTATATCTATCTTTTAGCTCTTCTTCACATTTAGCTAAGAACTCCTTGTCCTCAGCAGAAAGGTTGTCAGTGGCAGTCATATTTAGTTGCCCAATATAGTTGGATATTGAATTATAGAATCTGTAACTAAAAAAAAAAAATATGTAACAATAATAGTAACATTTTAATTACTGCACCCAAAAATTTGCCAACGACAAATTTTTAATGATGTGACATCTTCCCCCGACTTTGAAAAATCTTTGTAATTTATAAGTATAATAAAGAATATAGTAAAAAAAAAGATCTTCAGAGCTTAGTGTTAAAACTAAGTTATTAACATCAAATTTAATGTTATTCTATACAAATGCGTGGTTCCTATGACGCATTTATTGAATCTCAGTAATTGAGTTGCACCCCATCGAACCCTCCCCCTAGGGCCAATACTGAGTATCATTTAGTTAATAATATTGAAAAGGAGTCAGTGGATGCAGGTGGCTCAGTACCATTCTTTATGTCAGTCTATGGGGTAGACCTATGTTCAACAATGGACAAGTAATGGCTGAGATGATGTATATAGCCTTCTAAAGAGCAATATTATAGTTGTCATCAAACAATAAATTAATCATCAGACTATTATAGTGATGTTCTTGATTATAAATGTGACAACTGCTGCAGTTATAGCATATAATATGCTTTATGGGATATGCTGTCTGCATATCTCATAATGAATAAAAGATAAAGTAAACAGACACCCACAATATATTTTCACAATATTTACAACAACATACCTATAAGGTTCATAAAATTAATGTCTAAAAAATTTAATTTCAAATGTGTTATTCTTTTCAATTGATGATAATGGAATGACAAGCTCGCCTATGCTATCAGTATATGCTGTTGGAGCACCAGTGAGATAAAATGATTAAATGGATGAAAATATGTGATTTGGCCCATCATGATTGATTCATCAAGAATTAATCACTATGGAGACAGCATGAAGGTCGACCTGACAGTGTATATTATTAACAATGGGTCCCTGGTCTACATTACTCTCTTTTTGTCCCATACCATGTGGTTGAGAAATCTATATTGATTGCTCCTGTTGAAAATTTTTACTCATGTCTATGTTTGTGTGTATCGAAATAATACTTAGTTACCTCTTGTTTTCTTTCCAAAAAGTGTTTAAGAGTTATTTAAAAAATTGCAATTATTCAAATTGTTCCTAATAAATGAAGTGTGAGCTTTAAACTTAAAAAATATTTTACAAGAGTAATTGCTGTTCATTGTAATTATTGAATCCTAACACAATATCATAATCATAATCCATATAATCAAGAGTATTACATGTAAAGGTATATCACATATAAATGATAATATTAATAGGTTGGTACAGTGATATTGGCAAAGTTTATAATTAAATAATTAATGGGGCAAGGTACAAAAACATTCACTATTTATTACTAATCATTCCAGCAAACATTGTTTTCTCCCTATTACCACTTACTAGATCTATCTTATCAATATAAAAATTATCTATATTTCTCAAGGTACAGTGAATAATATAATTGTATAAAATTTATATTATTTGCTCTACCAACTTTGAACATAATCATAGCATGGATGGACAAACAAGCCCAAATATGAGTAAGTAAAATGCTCAGGTAAACTGTTTTAAGCATGAATTTAAGAAATTGAGGAATACAATAAGATGTGACAACAGCTATGATGGTAAACCAAAAGACATTTTGTGGACACAAGGACATCACATTTGCCAAAACAGATCAGGTATAATTCACAAAGAAAAGTCACCCAATCATTAACAACAAAGTTACTGTTAATGAACCTAATCAGATAAGATAGTATGTAATAAACAGATAAAACACCACAAAAACTCAATCACATATTATATAAAATAGTATTTACAAGTTTCGCCAATTAAACTCTCCAGTATGAGACCATAAAATTGCTCAGTCGAATTTATTTTATTCGACTTAGAGGGTTTGAACACACGTCCAATATATGCACCACACTCGGGACATAGGCATGGTCTCCAAATATAGTCAGGGAACCAAGAATCAATGTCTTTCCACTGCAAATGCATATAATAATAGTAATTTTTATGTAATTCTGTGCAAAATTCACCTAACTATGACATTCATAATTACCTCCCCTGTGGGCATACAACTTGATTGAGTAGTAGTTATTACAGGAAAATGAATGAAGAAATCGCTAAGTAACATTTGAACCATAACTTCATCTCTATTAAATAAAGTGTCATTGAAAGTGTAGCGAGACTCGGGGCTGGATTCGGAAATTATGAAGTTAGATGCTGTAACATCATTGCCGCAATTACGACACAAAATTACTTCTGTAATAAAAAATAACCAATTTTTTTAGAACAAATTATTTATATATTAATTAGTTCAAATTGAAATAAACTTTTAATCTTAAAGTACTTACCACCTGTTTGTTTTTGATTTGGTTGTATTAAATCAAATTGTTTATGTGAAGCTGACAAAGTTGTTAAAAAATATATGAACAAAATAATACTGAAAAACATTACAAATATAAGGCAAAAAATGTGATGAAATAATTATTAATTAATAAAAGCACAATAATATAATTCCACGCAAGTACACTTTGATAAGTACGAAATTATGACTGATAGAATGAATTTATGACAATATGTCGACGTCAGAGAAACTACGTCTGATACGTCAGACGCCACTGTCACTGTGACACAGATAATGATTTTAGATAGGAGTCAATTCAATTCAATAACCGTCTCTTTCAACCTTGACATTGGTAAAATCAACGGAGCCCCGACAGAAACATAATTTAAAAATCCGGTAAAAGGAATTAGCAAGCCTACTACTAGCAATATACCCTAACAATTCGACCTCCTTGCGGTTCCCCCTGGATACTATCGTGACTGATCCAATGGTGAATTTGTCACGATGGGCTAGCTGACGTGCTTCATCTTCACTTATCATCCCTCACTGGTGCCTCGCCAGTGTATACCGATAGCGCAGGCGGATTCCCCATTTCATTATCACCCTTTAAAAAAAATCCTTTCCATAGCTCGCTGAGTAACTTGAAATCCTTGCATACGGGCAACTGTTTAGGACCATGTTTCAGTTGCGAAATTCATCACTAGCAACACGCATTGGTTAAAAGATCTTCATCTTCAAATGTTTTAATTAATACATAATTAATAGTAATTTCCCAAGTTCCTAACTCGCTCTGTAGAAACAGTACCATCTCTTATTGCTGTTTACACACCAATCACTTTTTAGGTAAACATGTCAATTATCGAACAATTATGGGTAAGTATCTCAAATTGATTGCAAGATATCTATCTTGCAGTAAATATAAAAGTAATATATGACGATGAAGTTCTGATCAGTAAGCCCATCGTGACAGATTTAGCAGGAATTAGCCATGATGGTTTTAAGGGGGACTTGTGGAGTTTAATTTGATATGGTGGCTTTGTAGGTTAACAACGGAGTTGCTAATTCACAATGAATAGAAATATCTTTCTCAATAAAAGTATTTGACGAGGAATTTTTTACAAGTTAAGCAAGCTAATAAGCATAATAATATTTAACATATAAACCTGTGTACATTTTGCAGATATGTACTCAATAGTTCCTTTCCCGTGGGTGTCATAAGAGGCGACTATTAAATGCTATGTTTAGGAAAAACTCTCTAGATGATGTTATCGTATATAAGTGATCTTCTGTATGTTTGTATGTATGTATTGTATGTATTGATGTTAGGGATATCAATAAAACAGATGTAGTTAATTACTATTTTTTATTATTATTACCTAATTAATTAAAGTGGAGATGAGGTGACGTAGAAACCTAAGCACGTTTTACCGTCCTTCGTCAATTGTCATTGTTGTTGAATCTGGTTCATAGTCATGATCAATGACACGTGTTTTTATTATCTGCTTGTAAACAAATGCAGACTTATTTGGTGTCCGGGTGCGGGCGGGATCTTCAAAATCAACAGCATAAAGACCAAATCGCTCCCTGTAAGAAATAAATATTATACATTTTAATATAAAATGCTATATATGTATATACATAGCATAGGGTTTGTACCAATACTTTCTACCTATATATACTTTCTTTTCCTTTTGGGTTTTCAAGATCGACTGAAAAAAAATCATTTAAGGGATAAGTCCCTTAGTATATATTTTTGTTATAATCATATATATCTATATTAAAAGTGGCTGTACAAAAGCATAAATAAATAAAATTATTAATACGGAACCAAGTAAAACGTAGTGGTTTACTTGCTCAGTAGGTAAACCCTTACCGTAGTGTTTACCTAAAGAAGTACCGTGATAGTTCGCCGCATTTATTTTTACACGTAAAATATGGACGAGATACACACCTATTAATTTTAAAATTTTAAGCAGCCTTCAGTGTGGCTCAGAACTTTTGGCACTCTTTATGGAAGGTCTGTATTATAAACTAATGATGTTAAGACTTTACTTACGTATAACCCTCCATCCATTCAAAATTATCCATCAAACTCCAAGCCATATATCCCTTGAGATTAACACCAGCATCTAAACTGTCCAAGACACTTTCTAAGGCTGCTCTATAATATCTAATTCTACCCTCATCGTTTCCAGTAACTGATTCTGACCATCCGTTTTCAGTAATATAAAATTTGACGTCACCATATCTTGCTTTTAAATGTGTAAGTGAATTATAAATACTGTTAGGCGCCAACTGAAAAACAAAAATTCAATCAATAAGAAGAAAAGAAAAGATCACTGTATATAAAAAAGAGAGACACAGAGAATATCTATTTATATCAGACAATTGTATTAATATATTTAATTTTTTTTCATGGGGAGTTTGGCCCTTTAACAATTCGCATATGCACTTTCTGACCTGTCTTTACGACATAAAGCGGAGCTTTAAGATATAAATCTTAAAGCTCCGCTGCTTATTCTGGCACGGGCATAGCTCAACCCCCGTCCCCTTTTTTAAATACGACTACGCATACATGTATAAACAATTGTAATAGCATTTTAGGTTAATAATAAAATTAGTATCGTAAACAACCTTTGAGTAACAGAGTACATTATGGAATAGGCAGATACTGTAAAATAATTGAAAATGGAAATAAATATAAACATTTATTTATATCAGGTATCATGAATGTGCGGTCGAGGACCTAAAAAGGCGTAGACGGACTCTGTAATAGATGATATGGCCAGAATGAGAGTGAATGTGGAAATGATTGCGAATAGACAAGGTTGTAAGAGAAAAACATATTACGCTGTCCTCACATGATAATTTGGACAATGGTAGGAAGAAAATGATAGTTAGCATTAAAATAATCTTATTAACTTACCCTTAGCCAAGTAGAATTAGATAGAGGCCACTCTGGTGGCGAATATGTCCCCACGCCAACATCATCGTTCAAAGAAGGTACCGCAAAATCTGACAAATATTCGGAGGCTGAAATCAAGTAAGCTGTGTAGTGATTTACACCAAAAAAGTCATATGCGCCCCTCACATAGTTCTTTTCTTCTTCGGTAAATTCTGGCAAGCGGGATGATGAGTATCCCTGTTCGACGCTTTTTTGAGCCACTTTTTCAGTAAATTCTCTAGGGAAACCACCTTGTTGTGAAAATATTGGTTCTGCATATATACCCCACTGAAAATAAATAGTAACATAGCACATTTATTTACATTAAAGTAAATATTTATTATATTTATAACAAATTTTGGAAACTCATGTTAAATAATAAAAAATAGTTTTCTCACTTCGGATTGACGTTTTATTTCAGCAGCGGCTTCGTCTTCGCTAGATTCAGTAAGTGGTCCAAACCAATTGACGCTGATGGTGATGCCACATTCTCCACCTTGACGCTGTTTGAAATAGTTATTATATGCATAATAAGCTTTTGCATGAGCAATAACGAGGTTCTTCGCACAAATATAAGTACCAACGTCAGTAAGATTCGCTCGAGGTGCTTTCGTAGTAGAACCATAACCCTCAAAACAAATTTCTCTCGGTTCATTAAATGTAATCCAATGTTTTACTCTATCACCGAACAGATCATATGCTATACGAGCATATTCTTCGAACCAATCAGTGATTAATGGATTCATGAATCCACCCATGTCAGCGAGCTTCTGCGGCAAATCCCAGTGGTAAAGTGTGACTATGGGCGTTATGTTATATTTCAGCATTTCATTAATGTAATTATTATAGAAGGCGACACCAGCTTCATTAATGTTGTTTGATAATCCATTTGGTAAGATTCTGGACCAAGACAGCGAGAAACGATAAGCATCCAAGCCCAACTCTCTCATCATTTCCACATCCCGCTTATAGTTAGTGTAGGAGTCTGCAGCAATATCTCCATTGGATTGGTCTTTTATTACTTCTGGAGTATTATGGGTCATATGATCCCAAATATTTTCACCTTTACCTGAAATAACAGTATTTTAAGCAAGTATTATGATATATCATTTTTAAAAAATCAGGTGTTATAATAATGTTTGTTTGCAAAATGCATATTATTGCCAGATTAATGGCAAAATTATAAAATGAAGTAGGTATTATAGAATGAAAGAAAATACCATCTACATTCCAGGCGCCCTCAATTTGATAGGAAGCTGTCGCGGTTCCAAAAAGAAAGTCATCTGGAAACCTTCTCTGTTGTTTTGAAGGTAGAGCGCAGCAGCCCAACACTGCTAAACTGAAAAAGAACACTATATTTTTTATGTATTGTTTGTAAAGTTTGTATAACATATTACTAATAACTAATTACTTTATGTGATTTTAAATTTATGGAGTTTTAGTCAAGATTTTTCCATTTTTCAATTGTTCCAGTGGTCTTATATACGTACACATATATTATTCGACTTATTTATTTATTTGAAACCTAAACACATTATAATAATATTTTGCAATATACCTATTTATTTGTTATTCATTCACACTAGATTCAATTTGGAATTGATTTGCTTATAATGTATTCCAATATGATGAATTAGGTACTGAGCGCGCGAAATCAAAGACACGATCGTGCGATATCAGTTAAATTTTAAAAGTAATAATACAATTTAATGTATCATATATTAAAGATGGTTAAATTACACAATTAGAAAACAATAACAATTTTCCAATAATTGAATTAATAATTTTTTAAGTAGGTATTTTAGTACACTTATAGGTACTTCTAATTTAATAAATAAACAAAAGAATGCAATATTATGCGAGACAAGAAGAATTGGTACAAAACTTTACTTATACCACGCCAATTTATCACTGTGATAATAGCAGGCTTTTTTTTATACCACTGAGGTGGCAAACCAGCATACAGCCCACCTGATGGTAAGTGGTTACCCTAGCCTATGAACACCTGCAATACCAGAGGTGCAATAACGCGTGCGTTGCCGACCCTAAAGAAACCTCTTTACCCCCCTTTTGAAGATAATACATAATATTATTTCTCTTATGGAAAGAGTCCCCTGCTCGAATACTTTAGGTATATATTTAATATATATGTACGCGTTTATATATGTATATAGTTAATAATATTGTTTTCAAATATAATAATAAGTTAATAATTGCTTATAATTATTTTCCTAAATGTTTTACGGTGTTATTACAAACTTGCTTAATTATACAATATTATCATGCTAACTTGTACAATAATTAGTCAGTTACACCAATTATCTTGAAAATATTACTTTCAGCAATAAGACCACTTTACTGTATTTATACAACTGTATTGCATCTTCCCTATATTGTGTAATGCATATAAAGTACACTTATTAATTTATTTATTTCCATTATAAAAGGTATGAAAAAGAATGCGATTTGCATACAAGTAACTATATACACTTACCTAAAAATGAACGCCAACTTCATTGTCTTTCTGTCTTGAACACTTTGTATGAAATGGATAAATTGTTTATATAGTACTTATGTATATTATATTATGCCCTTTTTTTGGATAGGCTTATCACTGTTCTTAGTAACTCCAATGCTAGCCATAAGTGGCCACTTTAAACTGATTATGTCCTATCTTGACAAGACTTCTAAAAAATGCCAGCATTGTCGATAACAACATAATACAACAAAATTTCCATAATATTGTTTATTACCAATTATCTAAGGCATCGTGATAGAGTGAGTTAGATAAATTATTTGGTTAGTCGTAACAGGTACACCAGGACTGAAACCAGTATCTTTCAAACTTGCTATGCTTGCACGGCTGTGTTTCGGTTTGGAAGTAATGGTATATTGCAGCGTGTGAAAGCATAACATCACAGTCCTCTAGAATGAAAAGCCGTGGTGCGTTTGCATCGTAAAGTGAAAATGTCTGTATGTAGGTACTTGCAACATATGAAGTTATTAAACTTTAGTATGCCTATTAAACGATTTCACGGTAATAGATTTTTAGAATTACCAACCAAATTAAACATAATGTTCGTTTAGATCTCAGGTTTAGATACTCTCCATGTTATGTAAAAATGATTCTATCTTTAGCAGTTGCTAAAGGTCGTTCTTTAATCTTTAATATTTATTTTATTTCTTTCTTTATATGAATACCTCACTGAACTGTTATCTTGCCGAAGTCCGTATCACTCGTTATTCCATTAGAATTATTCGGTTTAATTCCGCTATCGTTAGTATGTGTGTGACTGCCAACACTCGAAGACTGACCACCAATACTATCCTTAATGTTTTACTATGTTATTCCAAATTTTATTAATTATACAATATTATCATATATATTTGTACAACAATTAGTGCGTTACCCTAAGATTGTCTTGAAAAGGTTGCTCTTAGCAATAAGACCGACTTACTGCACCCATTTATACAAGTGTATCGTTACATTTACAATATTGTATAATACAAATAAAGTATATATGTATATTCATTCTTTTTTCACTACCTATTACTGCCAAAAGTTCTACAACCTTACATACTAGTCATTAAACTCTGATTGGTATTCGCGCACGTTTTGATTCCGACACGCGTTTCACGTCGAAATAAAGGATTTTTAGGTAAATTATTAGAACGCTGCTTAGAACCTAATGTTAATCGTTTGGCACCCAAACTGCGAAAATATCAAACTTATTACGAGTATTATTATAATGAGGCCTATAAAATCAAAGACAGCTAAATCCAAATCTGTTAAATGTATAGGAAACTACAAAAACTAATATTTTGGTCAAGGATATGGAACGATATTCTATATTTTAAACCAGATTAAAAAAATTTGAATATTAGTAATTATTTGAATTTTAATTAATAGAACTTTTAATTAAGAAAAATATTTGAGTACAGAGTGAAAATGTAATCGATTTTATGGCGTTTAGCTATTTTTGATTTTATAATCTTTTATTATTGATACTACATGTTCGCGACATTATTTGTATATATCGTAATTTATAGTTGTTAAGTCCTAGTTAATCGTTTTGTATTCTGTTATTTTATATAGATTTGCATAGATTTAAGATAGTGTAAGTTAAATAAAGTATTCCTTTGTGTGTTGTCATTATTACCTACGAATAGAAATAAAAATTGTAACAATAAATAGAATTAAGAAATTGTAAATTGCAATAAATAGACGCTATAGAGTACCGATCTGAAGAGACACGCGTCTCGTTCATTCTCGCCCCGTCCCGCTCGCACAGATCGCTAACGCGAGTTGGAAATGTTATCGTGCGAGCGGGCGGGTATAAAGATAGGCCGCCTCTCGTCGAGCGGCATTCGCTTCCGGGCAGCGACGCACTACACTCTCGAGAAGAAATAGGACAAGAAGAAAAATACTCTCTTCAGACGGTACCGGAGGCTTCAGAATAGTAATCCCTGTGTTTCACTCCAGCCTGAACCAACGCCCCTACAGTCCACGCTCACCGAACGGCAGTCCACACCGCACATCGTGGTCCTTCGAGAAGCCGGATTGCTGGAGGAACACCGTTGGTACATCGAGAAGCCGGATCGCTGGAGGAAGACCATTCTGAAGCCGGATCGCTGAAATGCCGACTACGAGAAACATGAAGTCGTCGCAACAAAAAATCGCCGTCACCGAAGCCACAACGTCCGCCGCCACCACGTCGACTACGGCCGCCGGAACGCTGTCCGTCGCTGCCACGCCGTCCGTTGCTGCCACCACGTCGTCTGCGGCTGTCAGAATGCCTTCTGTCGCTGCCACGTCGTCTACCGCCGCCACCACATCGACTGCGAACACGTCCGGCGATACGACGACCACAGGAGCCACGGAGACTACCGAAGCCACAGGAACGACAGAGGAGACAGCAAGGAAGAAGGAACCGAAGCACGGCACGGCACGCACGGTTCGCACCACGGCCTCGCAGAAGAAGAAGGCTCTGGCCAAGGCACGGGAGGAGCTACTTCGAAAGGAGGTGGAATTGGCTGCTGCACGTGTCGCCGCCCTGGAAGCCGAATCAGAGGACGACGAGGAAATAGAAGACGACGACGCTACCGTCAGAAGAGAACGAACGTCGGATTGGGTTCATCGAAGCACGCTAGCACTCACGATGGAGCCGCATGTACCAGAGATAGAAGAAGTCACCGGCAAGCGTCAGGGGTTCGTCCCATCGAGACCCGTTGAAGAGGATTCGAGAGCGCCGCCGCCACAGCCGAGCAGCGACGCACTTCACCGGGACCACGCACGCCACGTTGACCCACATGCCGCCATGCCTACGATAGCAGCAGCGATGCAGTCGATGAAGAAGGAAGAACCGGTGCTGAAGGTGGGCATCGATTGTAATGAGTTTGCGATCGCCATGCAGATGGCCGCTCGCAACATACTGCCCTCCACAGCGTCAAGAGTCACCGAGTTGCCAGTCTTCAATGGATCGTCGAGCGAGTGGTTACCATGGAAGATGGCCTATGAAGAGAGCGCAAGTCAACTCACAGAACAAGAGAACCTAGCAAGACTGCGCAGAAGCTTGAAGGGGGCCGCAAAGGACGCGGCACGCTCCCTATTCGTCGGGTCTACGACCGCAGAAGAAGTAATGAAGATGTTAGCCGCGAGGTTCGGCCGCCCTGGAGCACTCGTCACAGCCGAACTGAACAAACTCCGCGCGCTACCACGACTCTCGGACAACGCAAGAGACGTCTGCCTCTTCGCAAGCAAGGTGCAGAACGTCGTCGCCACGATACGAGCGCTGAACAAGAGTCACTACCTCTACAACGAAGAAATAGTGAGAAACGTCACAGAGAAGATGCCGTCGGTACTACGCTTCAAGTACTACGATTTCGCCAACGACCAACCGGAGGGACAACCGGACCTCATAACACTCTCTCAGTTCCTGCAAAGGACCGCCGCACGATGTGGAAACTTCGCCCCCGCCGAGGAGATACCGTCCGAAGACCGGCGGGAGTCCGCTCCTAGGAAGACGGCGAAGACATACACGACGCAGGAGAAACCCGCTACACCACCGTGCCCGATGTGTCGACGAGAGGGACACGCTCCATCGGACTGCAAGACGATGAAGGAAGCAGACACATCGGCGAGATGGGAGCTAGCGAAGACTCATAGGCTGTGTTTCCGTTGCCTCAAAGTGAGAAGATTTCGCCACGCCTGCAAGAGCAAGAGATGTGGAGTAGATGAGTGCACGCAGACTCATCACCCTCTGCTGCACACCACGCGACAACAGCCGGAGAATGAAGTAACAACACACGTCGTCGAGGACAAGTCCGCCGCAGTCACCGCATCGGCAAGGGAAAACGACAAGATCGCGTTCCTGAAGATCCTGCCGATACGAGTCACCGGTCCCACGGGAACGTGCGACACCTACGCGCTACTGGACGACGGGTCGACTTGCACCATCATCGAGACGACGGTGGCGGAGCGAATCGGTGCTACGGGTCCCCCCGCACCATTCTACATGGAAGGTGTGGCCGGGGCACGGATCAACGCAGCTCAATCGACGCGTGTTCACTTCAAGATCCGCGGGCGGAATTCACAAGAATACACAGTGGGGGCACGGACGATGGACAGACTGCAGTTATCACCGCAGTCGGTACCGCGCAGCGTCATCAAGGGCTGTCCACATCTACGAGACATAGAGAGGGAACTGGTCTATGAAGAGGGCAAACCGACGGTACTGTTGGGGCAAGACAACTGGCACCTACTGCTGGCCCACGAAGTTAGAAGAGGATCCGACACGCAGCCGGTCGCATCACTCACCGATCTGGGATGGGTACTGAACGGTACGAGTCGCGGCAGGACAAGACAGCAGGTGCACAGAATCAGCCACATAGTGACGACACATGAAGAGGAACAATCGATGGAAGAAATGATGAAGCAACATTTCGCGCTCGAATCGCTGCGAATCGCACCGAAGAGGTCTTACAATGAAGAGGAACGTCGCGCCCTACGCATTTTAGAGGAGAAAACTCGTCCGTTACCGGCGGGAGGATACGAGACGGGGTTACTATGGAAGAAGGACGACCCTGTGCCGCCGGACAACTACGAATCGGCAATGCGACGTCTCCAACCGGTCGAAAGGAATTTCGACAAAAACGAAGAGCAGTGGCCGCGTGAAGATAGTACGAGCGACGATAGTCAAGCGGAAACGGGAGAAGAACGCGTACACAAGCTACAGAACGCGACGCAGTTGTCTATAGCATTACCCGATCCGTCACGTTTTTCTAATTGGTTGAAACTTGTTCGCAGTTCAGCACGAGTGTTGCAGTTCATCGACCTCCTGCGATCGACCAGTCAACGCTGTACCGCCATCCGAAAGAGAAACAAGAAGAAAGAGAGCACCGACCCCACTTGGACCCGCACGAAGAAAGTCGATAGAGAGAAGACGAAGATGAAAATCAAGAACAGCAATAGTCCATCTGTGTGTTTCATCCCCATAGACACACACTACCTAGATCGCGCGCGACGGCTATGGATTCGCGCGATGCAACAAGAGGCGTTCGGCGACGAAATCGCAGCATTAAAACGAGGGAAACAGCTGCCGTCATCCAGTCGACTCATACAGCTGTCAGTCGTCATAGACAACGACGACATTCTGCGACTTCGATCGAGAATAGCAGCCGCCGCCGATCTGTCAGCCGAGCAACGAGAGCCCCCATCGTCGACGGAAACCACGCCTGGGTGCGCCTATACATCGCATGGGTGCATCGGAAACTTCACCACGGCGGCTTCGAGATCACCACGAACGAGGTGCGACAACACTTGTGGGTGTTGCGCCTACGACACGCCGTCCGCAGTGAACTGAAGAGGTGTCAGCTGTGCCGCCTACGAAGAGCAAGACCGGCGCAGCCATCAACGGGCAACCATCCACAGAGCAGGCTGGCGCATCATCAGCGACCGTTCACGTTCACCGGCCTAGACTACTTCGGGCCTATGACCGTGACAGTGGGCCGCACTCACCAGAAGCGGTACGGAGTGCTCTTCACCTGCCTAACGACGCGCGCAGTCCACCTAGAAATCGCCGGCAGCCTCAGCACGGACTCCGCCATAATGGCCCTGCGGCGCTTCATAAGCCGCAGAGGGTGTCCCACTGAGCTATGGTCCGACCAAGGCACCAACCTCAAAGGTGCTGACGTCGAACTGAAGAAAGCAGCCGAGGAAGCCATCCAAGAAGAGTCATCAGTCCATTTCATCCGGTGGCGCTACATTCCCCGAGCGCACCCTTCATGGGAGGTGCGTGGGAACGGTTGGTGCGTAGCGTGAAGACCGCACTAGCCGCTACGTTGAACGAACGGGCGCCCAAGGAAGAGGTCCTCCACACTCTGCTGGTCGAGGTCGAGCACACCCTCAATAGTCGACCGCTAACCCACGTGTCAACATCGGCAGACGACGACAGCGCCCTAACCCCCAATCACTTCATATTGGGCGGTCCATCGCGCGTCCCACTGCCAGGCAGCTTCACCGAGAGCGACGCGGCGGGACACAAGGAGTGGCGTGCCAGCCAGAGGCTAGCTGATTGCTTCTGGAACCGGTGGGTGAAGGAGTACCTACCCGAGTTGCAACACCGGCGGGAGCCCCGAGCTACACACGGAGCCATCAAAATGGACGACCTGGTCCTGATAGCTGATGGGACCTTGCCTCGCAACACGTGGCCGCGAGGCGTGGTGGTGGCGACCTACCCTGGACCAGACGGCGAGGTTCGAGCAGTCGACGTGCGGACGAACAAGGGCATCCTACGGCGACCCACTAAGAAGCTGATCATACTGCCCACATCGACATCGAGCGACGCGAACACGAGTTAACTCCAGCTACGAGAGCTGCGGCGGGAGATTATGTTCGCGACATTATTTGTATATATCGTAATTTATAGTTGTTAAGTCCTAGTTAATCGTTTTGTATTCTGTTATTTTATATAGATTTGCATAGATTTAAGATAGTGTAAGTTAAATAAAGTATTCCTTTGTGTGTTGTCATTATTACCTACGAATAGAAATAAAAATTGTAACAATAAATAGAATTAAGAAATTGTAAATTGCAATAAATAGACGCTATAGAGTACCGATCTGAAGAGACACGCGTCTCGTTCATTCTCGCCCCGTCCCGCTCGCACAGATCGCTAACGCGAGTTGGAAATGTTATCGTGCGAGCGGGCGGGTATAAAGATAGGCCGCCTCTCGTCGAGCGGCATTCGCTTCCGGGCAGCGACGCACTACACTCTCGAGAAGAAATAGGACAAGAAGAAAAATACTCTCTTCAGACGGTACCGGAGGCTTCAGAATAGTAATCCCTGTGTTTCACTCCAGCCTGAACCAACGCCCCTACAGTCCACGCTCACCGAACGGCAGTCCACACCGCACACTACATTTCGTAATTAATTATTTTATTAAGGATTCTATCACAAAAATAATTGTAAGTAAACTGCGTAAAATATGGAAAAACCCCTAACATCTCTAAGAACACCAACACTTATATAATGAGGAGTTCGGTTTTCTAATTTTACTGTATGGTGCAGAGATTTGAATGATCAGGCAACTAGAACGCAGAAACATTGATGCTCTAGAGATGTAGTGGTGGAGGCGAATGCTGCAAATACCTTGGAGTGTCTATCGAGCTAACAGTTGCATTTAGATCGTACTGAAAATCAGAGAGAGATTATCGTCAAATGTTCAGAGAAATCTCAAGTACTTCAGTCGTATCATTTGAAATGGAAACTGTTGTAACGTCTAATCGTCAAAGATTCAAAACAAGGTAAACATTCTCGAGATAGATCACCAATGTGATGGGCAGACGGCATTAAAACGGCCACACAGCAATTCATTATGGAATGCTCTTGCCCGGCCGTGAGCAGAAATAGACGGCATTGCGAGGACCTCAAGCGTGAAGAAGAGCCTTATCAACAATCCACGATAAGCATGAAAATAATGACCATTCTGTAAAGAGTGTACGATTGAATACTGACCGAGAGAATTTACTTACATCTTACATCTATGAATTTACTTATAAAGAGATAATCCACAGAGCGTGAGATATACAATATTTTTCAAAGTGTATGATTATAATTTAAATCTCTTCACATGATTTCACTTTCACAATCTCTGTTTAATCTCTTAATTTCTTAAATGAAAAATAAGTAAATTATTAATTTTATTCAATGTTATGTTCAGACAAAGAGAAACTACAGAACAATATATACATATTAAATAAATGTAATTGTATAATATACCTACTGTATGCCATGCCAGAGGCGGATTCAATTTCGAGAGCGCCCTAGGCAAGCACCTCATCAGCGTCCCTCTAACAGGGCATATATAATTTTTTATTAGTACTAGTAGTAGTGAACATTGATAAATAAAGTTATGAATTATTTATTTAAAAATTGATACCAATTCCATTCAATGACTATTGTTAAATAAATAAAATTGGAAGATTCTGCATCTACATTGTTGTCCTGCGAAATTGTCAATATCATCATTATAGTTTAAAGATAGCAATAAGTTTGATTCAATGTAAGTATTGCTAGAGAATTTAATCTCTTATCTGTCATGCTCGATCGAAGATAATTTTTCACTCTCTTAAGACAGGAAAAGTTCCGCTCACCACTGCAATTGCTGAGTGCCGGTGATACACATATTCAAGGCCATACAAACACAATTAAATATTGGCATTCTTGTATTACATGTCAATATTTAATTAAATTGTATAAATATATATCATATTATGTAACTAGGTACATAGGTACTTACTGACACAAATAATTGTGTTTTCTATTTTTTTTTTATTTAAAAATTCTATATTCGCGCCCCTTCGTAATCTCCTGCCCCTTGTAAGTATTTGTATTTTTTAAATTTATTATGGGAAACGAAAAAAGTATGACTATTTATGTCCCATAATTATTGATTTTGCATGCCTAGATTGCATTAGAGATAATCCATCCCTGAGTGTATTTATGTCTAAACATAGAGTATCGCAAGATCATATAAAACAGTGAATAAACCGGTTTACGGCCTGTGAACATACCTATACCAAAGTATAATTCCATATTCCAATGTCCCTACGTTGTTTATACATATATTTAATACAATATATTTGTCTATACGTTATTTATACATATAATATAATTTTGTTATATAATTTATATAATATGGATTATTATATATAACCTTATATTTTTATATATTTATTAATTATTTTATTAATTAAGGAAAACTAACAGCTCTTTGTAGCAGAGTACAGATTATACATGAATGTTAACACATAGGCTAATACGGTATTCACAAGATAATTTGTGAACATAAATTGTAATATATGGGTAAAAATAACAAGCAATAATTGTATTATTATGTAAATATAAAAATAATAAGATATAATGATATTAAGTTGGTACAAGTTAGCTGGTAAGGTATTATCCTTTATCTATGTTATAACATAAGGTTTTTAACCCTATTCAAACTCACTCAAAACATGTCGATGCTTTGATAGGTTTCGTTATATTCACGACAAATGAGGAAACTATTTTACTCTTCTCAATCCAAAGTTTTTTTTAATGGTTTGCAGTACAGCATTTAAGGCATCCCGTACTCGCTATTGGATACGGGTAAAGTGATGCTTATAAAAGAGGGTACATGTTGTATTAAATAGTCATTTAGGCACGATATTTGAGGAGTATAAGGAAGGTAAAGTAACGGCCAGAGACTGCTCATTAATACAAAGATTGCTTGGAAGAGATTACTCTTAACGATAAGGCCGCCCATTGTTTTCTCGAAGTAATATTTTCTTGTAAGTATTTGTATTTTTTAAATTTATTATCGTAATCTTATGAAGGAAACGAAAAAAAGTATCTATTTATGTATTTTGGCGGTGACTCGTCTTCTACAATGACAATGAAAATAAATTGTGGGACTGACAGTCTTATCAAACATAAGACTGTCAGTCCCATAATTTATTGATTTGAAAAAATAGCAACTGAGGATGTATCTTTCGTCCTCTTTTTACTGATTATATTTGCATAAGAAGAAAGGACGCAATCATATTATTTACAATTCTATTTTATCATTCTTTCTATGTAATTCCTTGTTCTTAGGTGTTAACGCTCATTAATGTCAGTATTAAAATGACAATTGCAACTCAACTGTCGAAAAAAGCGCGGGAAACGTTTAAAAAAGCGGGAGTGTTTTTTGATCTTCTTTAAATTAATTTTATTTTTAATTATATAAGGATTAGTCTTATTTATATATTGTGTATTAGATTGTATATATAATTGTATATTTTGTAGTAATAGTGTTTGTTGCTGTAAATATTGGTAAGTAAATTACCTATATTAGACATTATGGATCCACCTATAGACCCTGGAAGGATGTAGCTCCTTATGTCGTTCATGTACAAAAAAATGAAACACATCCTAATGATAACACTACATTACATCCTATTGCATTTGGTCGCTTTTTACACACTAATAAGATAAATAATATAGTGAATGGTAGCCTGGTCGCTTTTTACACACTAAAAGAATAATATAGGAGGAAGAAACCGTTTATCGCTTTCTTTCTCAAATTTTGAAAATGCAAATGCATTTTTAAATAATAGTCACTTAGAAACACATAATTTTAAGGCATTTATACCTTCTTTCCATGTAACCCGTATGGGAATTGTGAGGGGTATTCCTAAAGATTGGACAGAAGAGGAAGTAATCCAAAATATATCAGTACCTATAGGTTGTGGGAGAATTCTAAAAACCAGAAGAATTAAGAAAAAGACCATTAATGAAGGACAACCAAGTTTTATTAATACTGAAACCATTGTTATTACTTTTGATGGACAAATATTACCAAAAAGAGTATTTATGTTTTACACATCATTAACTGTAGATTTGTACATTTACCCCACTATCCAATGCTATAACTGCTGTAGGTTCGGACATGTCAAGATGCAGTGTCGTTCAAATCCTCGGTGTTATAAATGCAGGCAAAATCATACAGGTGATAAATGTGAAGTAGATGAGGAAAATGTTTCTTGTATCTTGTGTAATGGTTCTCATTCAGCAATTAGTAAGAAATGTCCTGAATATGCACGTCAGAAAGCCATTAAAGAAACAATGGCCCACAGTTGTGTTTCTTATGCTGAAGCATCAAAATTTCATCCTCCCACTTCTAAACTATATTCAGATGTATTAACATCATCATCTGCATCCAATAAATCTCATTTTCAATCTTCTTTCCTCAAAGAGAAATCATCATTACCACATATTCAATCATCACATAAAAAAACAGTTACACTTAAACCACGCTCTCCTCAAAAAGCACAACAAGGATATGATCGTTCTGCCCATGAAGCCATAGTTCAGGAATATAATATTCCTGCTCCCTCTAATGGTTGTGCATTATCATCAAATAATATTGACAATAATCAATCCATCTTTGATATTATTCTCATGCTTATTAAAGTGTTATCGCAATCGAAAATGATACAAACAACTTTACCACCGTCCAACGATGCCATTTACAATGTATTTTCTCAATTATTAACTTCTAACAATGGATTACAAAGTCCTAATAATTCAGTGGAACTGTCGTAGCATAACAAACAAGAAATCAGACTTATTTTATTTGATTAATAAATATAATCCTTTTATAATAGCTCTCCAAGAGACTTGGTTAAAGCCAGGATATCCTTTTAGGATTTCAGGCTTTACAAGTCTCCGTGATGATAGAGCTGACGGATATGGCGGTGTTGCCATATTGGTCAAAAACTCCCTTCCTTTTTCTTCTTTTTCGCTTCCTGTATATAGCGGCATTAATGCAGCTGCTATAATTATAAATGGTATCTGTTTTGTTACTTTATATATTCCTGATCCTACATGCCAAATATATTCACAACTAGAACAATTATTTTCAATTTTACCTAAACCTTTTCTCGTAATGGGCGATTTTAATGCTCAACACCAATCGTGGGGCAGTTCTACTTCTAATTTTTATGGTGGAAAACTCCTGACGATAATTGACACTTACAACTTATGTATTATTAACTCAGATGTACCAACACGTAAAACTGCACCGAATGAAGGGTTTAGTGCTCCTGACATTTCAATATGTTCTTCTGATTTAGCTTCTTCACTGTCGTGGTATCCTCATTCCTCTACTTTCGGAAGCGATCACTTTCCCCTCATTCTTTCTTTTCCAATTTCCATTCCCTCAAGTCGAAAGAGTGGTCCTCGGCTTAAATATAATTTATCAAATGTAGACTGGAATATTTACAAACAATATTTAGATAATAAAATATCGGAGTTACCTATTGTTTACCATGGAAATGAACATCAATGTTGTAATGACTTGATGATAAATATGAAGGAGGTTGCTGATTTATTATTTCCTGTTAAAAATAGTGCTTCAGGGAAAATTCCCTCGCCACCTTGGTGGGACAAAGATTGTACGGAAGCAATTAAAAATCGTAAAGAGGCTGAAAAAAATTATAATAATTACATGACACCAGAAAATTTTGAAATTTATACCGCAGTTTCACGTTCTACTCGAAAACTACTGAAAAAAAAGAAATTAGAAGGCTGGAGAAGATTTTGTTCTTCTATCTGTCCAGAAGTTAATTCATCAGTCGTTTGGAATAATATTAAAAGATTCAGATCTGCCTTTAGTGATCATACATCACGTTCTGCACTCGATTTAACTTTAGCGAATAAATTTTTAGATCGCCTTGCTCCTAGTTATGTGCCGGAATGCCTTTACAATATTTCTCTATCCGTCTCTGACGAATTATTCGAACTTGACTCTCCTTTTACTCTAGTAGAACTTAAAGGTGTTCTAGCTTCTATTAAAGACTCTGCACCGGGAGAAGACGGTATACCGTATTCCTTTTTTAAAAATGCTAGCGATGCGACATTAATTTACTTTTTAAATATAATTAATTCCATAATTATTTCGGGAAATATACCTACTTCATGGAAGTCTCAGATTATTATACCATTTCTAAAGCCTCATAAACCACCTTCTGAACCATCTTCATACCGTCCTGTTGCACTTTCCTCTGTCTTACTAAAGCTAGCTGAACATTTAGTGAAAAACCGTCTAGAATGGTTTTTAGAAAGTAATAACTTACTATCCCCGAACCAGTTTGGTTTTAGGAAAGGTAAGAGCACCTTAGATAATGTGAGCATTCTTATTTCAGATATTCATATAGCTTTCTCACAAAATTTGTCAATCCTCTCAGCCTTTTTAGATATAAATTCTGCCTATGATAATGTAATAATTTCTATTTTAAAAACTAAATTACAAGCTCTAAATGTACCGGTAATGCTTTCTAATTTCATTATTAATATTTTATCAGAAAGAACAATATATATGAATTTAGATGAAGATACCAAATTATCTAGAACAGTATGGAAAGGCCTTCCACAAGGATCTGTTCTCAGTCCAATCTTATTTAACATATACACATACGATCTAGAATTATTCCTTGATAAATCCGTCAAAATTTTACAATATGCTGATGATCTTTTATTATATTTTATTGCGAAGTCCATAGAATCTGCTTCTGCCAAATTATCTGATTCATTAGATTTGTTAAAAACGTGTTTAGATGCAAATGGTCTTAATCTTTCTGTAACCAAGAGTAGTGTAGTTTTGTTTTCAAGAATGAGATCACCGCAACAAATTAAGGTGCTTTATGATAACTCATACATTCCTATAAAGACTGAAATTAAATTTTTAGGTATCGTGCTAGATAATAAATTAACAGGTCTGTCCCACTGTAATTATATTTCTACGAAATGTGAGCGTAACCTCAACATTCTTAGGTGCCTTGCTGGAGTTTGGTGGGGAGCACATCCCGTTTCACTAAATCTTGCTTATAATGGTCTTATAAGGAGTGTCATTGATTATGGAACTTTTTTGTTAGCTCCAGGAAGTTCATTTGCTTTTAAGAAATTGGATTTAATTCAATCAAAGGCCTTGAGGATTATCTCTGGAGCAATGAAATCAAGTCCAATCAATGCTTTACAGCTCGAAGTCGGTGATCCACCTTTGGTTTTAAGAAGACAATATCTATCTGATCGCTTCTTTTTTCGTTGTTTACAATTATCTGATCATCCGCTTATTCAAAAGTTATCTCAACTACATATCTTTATTTCGTCTTCATCTTATTGGAAACATAAAAAACCTCCATGTTTAATACAAAGTTATGAAAAATATAAATCCATAGAATCTCCCACTTTTACATCGTCCTGTTTTCCCATTTATAAATGCTCATATCAATCTTTAGTTTTATCTCCTAATATTAAATATGATTTTGGGTTATTAAAAAATGATTCAGAATTGAATGCCAAATTTATGTTTATAACTGACATTGAATGGAATGAATGGCACTACATCTTTACTGATGCATCAAAACCAGACAATAGCGGTTGTGTAGGTGTGGGTGTGTTTCATTCACAATTTAATATCGTTCAAAAAATTAAACTTCCACCGGAGTCTTCAGTTTTTACCGGGGAATGTTATGGTATTTTAAAAGCTGTAGAATATATACTTTTAATGAAATTACATAAGGCAATAGTTTTCACTGACTCTATGAGCTCTTTGCAAGCTCTAGCCAAATATCCGTTTAAATCAAAACCAGTTTATCCCATTATTTGTGACATAAGACAAAGTCTTTATCTTTGCATGTTGAGAGGTTATTCCGTTTCTTTTGCCTGGTTACCAGGACACAGTGGTATTAGCGGCAATGACAAAGCTGACCTTATTGCAAGAGAGGCTGTAACTTGTGGTGATATGTATCCGTATCATAATTACTGTAGTGACCTAGCTTGTCTCCCAAAAATATATTTAAGGTATGCCTGGAAGGAATATTGGGAAAAAACAAGTACAATAAAAGGAAGATTTTATCGCCTTATACAACCCGATATTCCTTTCAAACCATGGTTTTGTAAATTAAAGCTTGGAAAGACCGCAACAACTATTATAACTCGTATGCGTCTAGGTCACGTATGCACACCTTCTCATTTATACAAGCTTGGTATTGTACAAAGTTCGTCGTGTAATTGCGGTGCTGAAGTGGCGGACTTGAATCATATATTCTTCTCATGTTCTAAATTTGACCATACCTCCCTTTTTAATCATCTCCGATCCATCCGTGTTCCATTCCCAACTTCTATTCTTACTCTACTTTCTTCCAATGATCCTATTATCTATAAAATACTATCTTCATATATATATGATAACAATATTAAGATTTAGTTATATTACATGAATACATTTATAGTTGCATCAATTGCTTTTCCTATATATTTATAAGTATATTCTCATATGTATAAGTATATGTTTCATATCCTATAAATATCCTAGACCTAATCCTTATCCTTTCTAAATTCGTTTGTGTTAGGTATTTTTATTACTATTATCGTTTCCCCGTTTTGTTCTTGGCAAAATACCCTAATATCGGGGTGAACGCCACAAAAAAAGAAAAAAAAAAAAAAACTCAACTGTCAAATTGAAGTATAGTAGGTAGCTGTCACGTTTATCATATTGTTATTTATTTTTATTGTATAAAATAAAATATAGAGATTGAATTATTTAGTACTTATTATCGTATTATTCAGAATGTCAGAAAACGTGAATATCGATCTATCAGGAGAAATCAGTGCCACTACTGAGAAGAAAGGCTTTCAAAAGTATGTCAATGATATGGAATTGTAAGTCTTACTAAAATTTAATACTTACGTGTTCAGGCTTGTGTTTTTATTTGCTTATCATTTTCATCATTCCATGGTAACTGTGGCCTAAGTATGTGAGTATCTATTATAAAAATTTGTTTACTAACACTTTTTTGTATTTATGTCAACATGTAGTAAACGTGTTAACGACAAACAGGTATGTTATTTTAGTACAACTGCATTTTAGATATAAAATACAGGTATATGTAGAGATTGAGACTTATAAAAAGAAATAAAATATACTAAATATCTATATTAGATATTTAGTATATATATATATATATATATATATATATATAGTATATTAAGAGCTTTAATCTAAATGCAATTGGTGGGAGTTATAAACAAATGATATTCTCAATTTCTGATTAATTTTGAATTGTAATTTAGTTTATATTAATGTTGTTAGTTCAGGGTACATGTTCGACACCTGTTGATTCATCACCACATATAATATAATACTTTTTATATTTAAGTATGCTTTAAATGTTTAACAACAATATTTTAGAAGTATTTCTGTTACATGAATTGTTAGAAAATCCTTTAAATTGAAAATAAAATTATAAAAATGCCTATGTAAATTATTTTATTGTGAATTATTTGGTCAGTGCTTCTTGCAAATTCAAAACTTGTTTCTATTTGTACACTACTTATGGCATTATTTATTGTTTAGAAAAAAACATTAGTTCTGTGAAAATTTATAGTTTAAAAATTGGTATAATAAATAAGTAAATATATAAAAAACAAAGATAAACTTTAAAAATAATATGCTTAGACTGTAATACCTGTTGAGATAGTCCTCTAATTCAACAGGTACAGTATTAAGGGGACTGTTACAAAATGACGACTCTTAACTTCACATTGAGTTGTGCAATGAAGTTCATACAAATTTACATATTATTACTGGTTATCTTTTTTTTTAGAAATATATGATATATAATTTTCTATTATATTACTTTACTAATATGATAACTTTACTATTTTATATTTTTTATGCAAAAATCTTGTTGTATTTATAAGTTAATTTGAAAATATTTTGGCAAGATTTAGCAAAAATTGTGTTCAATTAAGATTTTAGATATTTGATTGATAATCGAAAAAATAACAATGCAGTCTTTATTTAGTGAGTAGTTACTGAATTTTTTATACAGTATCATATCAACTTTATATTAGTTTATTAATGAACATCAACCCCAAACTTCTATATCAAAGCAGTTATTGAAAATGGCTTTGGAAATTAGGAAAAAATAGTACATTAATAATGAGCTAGGAAAAAACTGTCTTTACAATAAGAAATCCATCTGTACAATTCAAGAATCTAAATGTAAACCAAACTCTTAAATGTTAAAAACCAGATCCCCAAAACTTAATTTTTTCATTGCTTTTTGCAGACAAATGTGAAAGGCCTCTTAATAGTAGACTCATGCGTGGGCATTTATCTATGACTATTATAATATATCTGTCTTTATTTTGCAGAATTGTTCAGCATGTCCGCAGTGGCGCTGCTCCTGCATTGTTGATGGGCGTCATCGCTTCTCGTCGACCATGGACACAATTTGTTGCTACAGACAACTTTAAGGTAACTTTTTTTATTGGTTTATTTGAACTTGAATACATTCTACTGTCTATTATATTTTTTTAAGATAGAGAAAATTTTGAAGTTATATTAAAAATGTAGTGTCCTTAAATATATTTTTGTATGAGCATTTTAGGAAAGATATATGTATTTTTACAGGTACCAGCATCAATACCTCGACTTTCTCGACGATTTTACAGAAACATTGAATATTTTCAAGCAAATTACTTGGTAGTCTTTCTGGGATTATTTGCATACTGTCTGTAAGTATGCAAAGTCTAAAAGTATTTGCTTTTACATAAGTAAAATATGTAGGTAATTATTATTAATCTTACTAATATAATAAAATTGTTACAACAATGTTTGTACTTAAGAAAAATAATATGATTGATCTTACTTAGTAAGATCAATAGATGCCAAAATAATACTTTTTGAAATTTTGTCTGTCTGTCTGTTTTGGCCTTACACAAATAGTACTATACTAAATTGGATGCTATTTTCACAGTTTTAGTGTGCAAAAAGCTTATTTATTATAATCATTTGTTATATGTATTTGCAAAAATGATCTAAGCTACTACATTCATACTATTCTTCCCTTTAATGGACCTTGAGAGAACTTCCTTGCACCTTCCTGGCACTATTTCCCTAAACCTATTTTAATTTTAATTTGACAGTTTAGCAAAATTGCTGTTTTCATTAATTTATAATAATTTTGATTTAGATATATTAGAATTTTAGTTTATATTGATTTATCAAATTGAAATTTTAATTTTAGAGATAATTTATATATGTATGTATATTTTAGGTCAATTTTACTATATTTTACAGCGTAACATCCCCGTTGCTACTGATAGCTATGGTTGCTAGCTTTTTTGGATATAGAAAATTGACGTCTGGACCTAATACATGGAAGGTGAGTTAATTGTAGTAATTTATTACGAGTTATACGTATTTGAAACTAATAAGCGATAAATTATTTCCAGCCGAAAGTAAGTGACCAATGATTTTTTATTGGTAGACTGTCAACTTATTATATTTTTATTACAGCATTTAAATACTATTACCATTTTTTTCGTCTTACGACTCTTTTCGTAATACATATAAGGCACGATTCTTTTCTCTTTTTAATGAGCTTGTACTTAAATAGCGTCTCTAAAAAGATTTTTTTTTGTGTCCAAATACACAATTACACTATTGGCAATACCCATTATAACTAAAGGTATTCATATCTATTTACTTCTAAACGAAGGAATTAATTTGTGAGCCAAACACAGACGGAGCTATAATATGTATTAATATATTAAGCTATATGTTATAGTCCGCAGTTGAACTGCCAAACAGCGACTTTAATATCTATAATATATATTTTTGCATTCATTAATTTTGCTTAATATATCGTACTATGTCAGTTTTGCTGATGTTTGTGCCAGACATCCTCAGGGGCAGGAAAATATTTTTAACGGGCATCGAAAAAGGGGAAGATTCTCAATTCGGTAGTATTTCTTTTTTATGTTTGTTAGGGTAAGGGTATACTTTCAGACTGATCCCATAAAAAAAAATTATCGAAATTGATTTAGTACATAATAACTAATAATTATCTATTATAATTTTTCTTATAACTTGTTCTTCTTACATAATGTTGTCTTTGTTTTGATACTTACTTTAATGTCTATGTCGTTAGATTGGTAGTTGGGAGTTAACGAAGACACAGCAATACGGTGTAGCGGCCGCCGGTTCGATGGCCTTGTGTTGGCTCGCTGGTGCCGGAGCGGTCCTTTTCTGGGTTCTAGGTAACTATTCTTTGTTGCCGTTAATACGTTGATATATCACTTTTAGAGGGGAGCAAAATAATTATTATCTTGCTAATATAATAAAATTGTAACTAGACGATCTCTACATGGGAGATATTTGAGAAGAATTACTATGAGGGGTCTTAATAACACTAATAGATTCTAAAACATTAATTTGTAAAAATTTTGTTAGTCTGTTCCGAGAGCACGTAAAAACTAATGTCCCAAATAAATAATGGATGCGGATTTCACAGTTATGTTTCTTGAAGGCCTAACATAAAATCTGGTATATATTTCATCTGGATACACCATCTAGAAGCGGGCTATTTCATTGGTTTTCCTATTTCTGAAATAGCATAAGAAGTGGGTAAAAAGCTTGTCAATAATAAAAAGGAAATGAAAATCCTTGAAGAATTTAAATAGTGGGGAAAAGAATAACAAATTTGTTGCTTAAACTTTGTAATTACTAGTCTTAAATAATACTACGTAATCGATCGTGTGGAGCCTGCCTTAGTGTTCTATTTGCATTTTAGGTGCAACTGTGACGGTGGTGGCGCTGCACGCGAGCTTCTTCGATGCAGAGACGCTACCCCCATCTGATGACCCCGAGCAGTTCCCAATGGTGGAACAAGTGTGACAAAGTCACCTGCCGTTGTTTTTACCACCACCCGGTCGCATCTCACCGTCCCACCGCCCGCCACTTTAATAAAAGCTGCCTATTTAACAGATTCCTTTGATTTTATTAATATTTATCATAATTTATTACGCAATCTTATTGTAATATTATTAGTACTCGTACTCGCGAGCGCTTTTGTGCAGCTTTTGTATTTTCCTTATGAAATAATAATTTTTAGCAGTAAAAAGTATCTTATATAAAAAAAATATTAATTATATATAAATTACAAATAATATATTATTATCTCAACTAATATTACAAGGAAAGATTTAAATTTTTTGTTAGTTACAATAAACAAACTGAAAAATATTTAACCAATTTTAAAAAATTCTTTTGCCTACAGAAAGCAACATTTTCAGCGACTAATATAGAATGTATTTTATTAAAAAAAAGTGCTAATCTGGAGTAGATCGCTAGTCTTTTATATGGGATACTTCATATATAATATGGGTACAAATCAGTCAACATCAATAGTCGATGCACACTTAAATTTTTTTTAAAACTCATTTGCTCTGTACAATACATATGCTATTTTATATGTATATTCAACTAATTTTGACCTTATACGATATTCATCTAGATCTGGTGCTAATCTTGTTAAGTAACTTCTGTAACATATGCAAAGGTGTTTACGAATTTTATAAATGAAGATTCTATCAATTTTTGACGTAGCCTGTATGTGTATACTATTTTTACAAATGCTTGTTGATCTTATACTGATATTAATTTTTAGTGTATTTATATGCTGTTTTTTTATTTGTTTCTATACTAAGAGGATGAACATTATAAATTCAGCGTTTAATGTTTGAATTCCAAAATATGTTTTGAACTTGAATAATAAATTAGAATATAATTTTTATTAGTATCAATTATACACCAAGTCGTTAATTTAAATAAAATTATAAATATTCACTGGTAATTTATAAATAATTATGTTTGAATTTGATAGATTATGATAGACATTTAAGATATTCTTTTAAAATAATTAATTCAATCAAATTATTATATAATATTAAAAAAAATGTTATTGTTATATCAGCCGGTAACTGTGCACTGCTGGACATAGGCTTCCTTATTGGGTATTTACAATAGTTTACAAGCTTGGCAGATGGGTTGGTAACCGCAGTTAGGTTTGGGTGATATTTTAAGAGGGATGCTGCTGCCAATCCCTCGACCATTAAATTCCCTTAGTCGCCCGTTTTTTTTTTAATAGGTGATAATGGAATGGTACTCTGCCTGCACTATCGTTATACGCTGGCGGGGCACCAGTGATAGATGATAGGTGACCATGAAAGCAGGTCAGTTAACACATCGTGACAGATTCTACTACGATTATCTACGATGGTTTCCAAGGGGAACCGCATGGAGGTCGACCTGACATGGTGTATTGCTAGCAATGGATCAATTAGACCCCATTACTAACAATCCCTTTCCCCCCTTAGTCGCCTGTTACGACACCCACAGAACAGAAAGGGGTGGATGATAATGGAATGGTAATCCCGCCTGTGCTATCGGTATACGTATACTGGGCAGGACAGAAAGGGGTAGCCCAGTCTATGCCGGGACCACATGGCAAATATTTTAAAGAACAAATCAGTGAATATACTTTAAATCTCGGTGCGATGGGACATATTAATAATATTCAAATTCAATATGTATTATTATTTAAATAAAAAAAAAATAGGATATTTAATAATAATATGTATTATAATAGTATTATGTAATTATTTTTAGTTCTAAGCGAGTGTCATTTACGTTGTCAGATTTTAAAAGCAAATCCTTTACTGTATTATTAACAGTTATGTTACAAAGCTCGGATTGAACTTTGTTCTAAGTTTTTTCTGTACTTATAAATGTATATAGAATAATATCAGTTTTAAAATAATTGTTTTCGACTAAGTCAACGACTTGTATATAAACTATGCTAATATATACCTGATTAAAATTATTTTTTGGTGTTCTTATTAATTTTATTTAAACTAGGATCATGTGTTGCATATGGGTGAAGTGGAATTAAGAAATACATTATTTCTTCAAGTCATTTAATAGATCTATAGCTTAAAACAAATAGTAAATAATAAAAGCAACTTTTCGTAAATCTTTTACATTGTAAAACATATTATATTTTCACTCTAGTAAAGTTTGCAAGAGTGACTGTAGGGTTTTGTTAATAATAAACATATGTGTTCGGTCTTAGAATTAGTGGATTTAGAACTTGATTATACTTGAAATAAATTGCATTCTATTTAGTTAGTACCTTTTTAATTTATATAATTAACGTTAAAATTTAATAACATTTTAACAGAAATGATAAAAATATTATTATTTTGACAGCATAATAAGATAAATATAATAAACTAATAACAAAAAATAGTTTATTTCTTACCACTTGATCAATTTTAGCAATTTGAAAAAGAAAGACATGGGATATTTTTTAATAAGTCAACAGTTTCAAGAAAACTATGGGTTTTACATATAATATATGTATATTTTTGACACCAAAACCATCAATTTCTGTGATGAGATTGATATTTAGTGTTAGGCGAAGGACATACAATGATGAAATGATTGAGTTGGTATAAATTAGTACAAAATATGAATAACACCAGTGAAAACATGCACTTCACAGAGTGAAAATATTACATAAATTTGACCTAATTTTAAATGCATAATTAAATTCATTGTGTATTAAATGAGTTACAAATCATAACTTATAAACAAGCTGTATTTATGGAAAACATTAGTAAAACAATATATTATGTCAAGAAATGTCATCATAAATTGTATGTGAATAAAGTCAGTCCCAGGACTCCCAGGGGTAAAATTATAACTCTGAAGATTGGTATAACCCTTAGACTTTCTTTGCGGTCCTATTTAGTGAAATTGCGGGACAGGCAAAGTGACACATCTGCGGGATTTCTGGTTACATACATAATAGACCTCCCAATCCCTTACGAAGAACGATTAGAAATATTTTGTACAAGAATTGATAGAATATATGATTTAATCCAAAAAGTTCTGAAGGTCGCCTAATTGTAATTCAAATTATAACAAATATGAAACTTTTGATGTTTTTGCAACTTAATTCTTTACAAATTCAAATCTGGCGCATATACAAAACACATACACTAGTGTAATTATTTTCTTGTCTCGTTGTATTTGCATTTTCAGCCTGTCAGTACATAGTATGTTATACTACTGTCTATAGTACATACTGTATTCATAGTTTGACGCAATCCAGTCTATTACATAAAAATGTCGGCATGTATATAATATGCCACATTAACATTATTAAACATTTAATTTCTTTTTAAATATTTAACAATTTTAAATGTAAACATTAAAGTAGGTACATTTTATTTATTTATAAAAAATATAGTATTACTAAAGTGATTATTATTATTCATAATGCTGCTGTGTGACGAGATCAATTTACCAATCATCTAATTTGTGAACAATGATATATTAGAAGATGTAGTTTATTAATTTGGTCATTAAGTTTGTAGTAAAAATTAAAAAAAAAAAATACAATTTAATGTTCGAATAGTGGGCGCCATGATCAAACAGATGTCACAGTGTTAAGGCACAAGATCAGAACGATTTTGTATGTTTTATTCTTACTAATATTATAATTGTGAAACTCAGTTTTTTTTTTGTTATCTCTTGGCATTTTAATAGCTCAATCAACCTTCATAACATATTAGTAATATTTGTAGACATAGAAAAGGATGTAGAGTTTCACCTGATCTATTTATCATCAAACATATTTATTATATTGTTTACAAAATGATGAAATATTTATTTGTATACAAATATATATGATAGCTTTTTCAACACAATACACAACTTTTTATTATATTTATTTATTATTTCATTTTCTAATATAAAGTACTTTCTCATTTCATAAATTAATCTCCACACATATTATTCTTTTTATAATTCTGAAAACAAAATCTTACAATCTCAATTATTTGAAAGACAGAAGATAGACCATGTAATTTATATCAGAATTTGTATGAATAAATTAGCAGCAATAATGAATACAATCTATAATTTGAATCCTTTAAAATTTTTACAATATATTTGATTCTTAGTTTCTATAATAAAAATTAATATGCTCACAACTGTTCTTTAAATATGTAGATTATCATGAAATAACCTTTTATGAAAAGGCATTTTTATGATATAACAGTTTGTAAATTGCACTTTATATTTATTGTCTGTGACAAAGATAAAATTTTTGTTTTAAATAACAATTAATTTAACTACAGGAACATAGTTATTGTTAATTTTGTTATAAATAAAATTATATAAATAAAATAAGTATATGAGACCTACATATCCCCTGGAAGACTATAAAGTATACAAATATACGTCTAAAACTATAGATTTGTTAAATAAATCACAACAGAGCTTCATTATTAATTTTAGTCAGTTCCATGTCAGCCACAAGCAATATTTCATCCCACTTATGTGTTGGTGTGTGGGGAGGTGTGGTGACACCGAGTTTTAGTTCCTTGCCAGAATTTGGAGTTGTGAATTCCAGTTTCCTTTTAGACCTCCCAGCAAACACATGAAATGTTGGTGTTTTCTGGCTGTCTGTTTGTACAAGTGGAGTAATAGGGGATGGTGTGGCAGTAACCACATTGTCACCAGTTAAAAGCAAAGTGTCAACATTTTTGTCAGATTTCTTAACTTTAAAGGGCCCTATATACTTAAACACTGGCTTCTTCAATATTGAATTACCAGATACCTTTTCTATGAGACCAACTGAAATAAATACATTGGCAATATCATATAGCCTCCTGACTTTGGATTTGTGTTGTCGATCTTGCTGTTCAGGCGAGAGAACAGTGTGATTCTTGCTGGATGTATCAATTAATACTCTTACAGCCATCTCCAGATTTATTAATGTGTTCTGAAATTAAAATGTTACATTGTATTTGAAATGGCTACTATACACTGTTCTGTTCAAGTGATAAACATCAATAAAGAAAAAAAGATTGTGAGTTTTATTCAGATGACATCAAACTCATGTATGACAGTTTGATAGTAAACAGTTAATTGAATCAGCAGTTTCATTCTTACATACATATCATGCCTTGCTTTACCCTTTTCTTGAAGTTTTCTGCTTTAGATAGCTAATCCTATAAGGACAAACAAGCTGACAGACCAACTGATGGAAAGTGGTAATTGCGAACTATAGATATGACCATCATTTGATAGAATATGGATATCACAGAAAACCTACCCATGGTACTCATATACTATCATTCCTGAGGACACAGATGAGAAGTCAGTTTAGATTTTTCCCAATAAAAATTATTTCAAAATAGTCCCTTGTGGGCAAAAAAATAATATAATAACAAAAATGAAAAAATTACTGATATTAATAATAGAAAACAATGCTCTATACTTACAGGAGGTTCTACTAAAAATAACATGAGGAATCTTTGAGCTAAAATTCCAAGTGTTTTGTGTTTAGGTGCTGGTGGCTTTGGTGCCCGCCCACGGAGGGCTTCCGACAGTTTCAAGTGTTCTCCCTGCTTTTTTAATGTTTTCAAAAAAGAATTCAGTCTTGATCCTCCATACCAGAGGTATGTGTTCTTCCTTTTGTGGACAGCACATTGCATTGCTTCCAATATATTTATTATATCATACATCCGTCTTTTTTCTACACCTAACTGGGCAGCAGTGCTGTCCAACTGAATTTCGAGACTGCCACTTGTGTGTAGAGGAAAAAGGGTGAGAAATCTGTAGAGCAATTATTTCAGTGAATATGTTTTTCATAAATTTCTGAATACTATGCTATATTTACATTTAAAGTTGTTGAGAAATAATGTTTCAACTAGTTATTTATTTAAAAATATCACATCAAGTCTTCTCTTAGACATGAAAAAAAAAAATTAGTAACTTGTATTAGATCAAAATGATAACTTGACCGGTATTATGTATTTGAGTAGGGACTAATTTTGGAAAGTGCTAGCTGGAGAAATACCCAGAGTGGCAAAATAGACGAGACACAATATCTCAGCAACTTGTATCACATAGACATAAATATGTGAGTACTTAATAGATTTATTGTAATATACCTGTCACATAGTATTTGCAGCGACTTCTCTCTACGGTGGACGGTACTAGGTGGTGGCGTGGGATATTGCAATGCCACACTAGTCAGTAACTTTAGGTTAGCTGTCGGTGATACATAACTCGATGAATTAGTGACTTCAGAAAGCGCATATCGCTTTGGAGTACAAGTAATGTTGTCATCGTCATACATTTTGTGATAACATTATACAATGCAACTAATAATTAGCGTATTTTTTGTTAGGTCGAAATCCAGTTGGTTGAGTGATTATAACTATCACAGAAAATTTATATTTAATTGTCCTAAAAGCGAGAGAGTTATTCTTTTCGAATTCATATTTACAAAAATTAAACTACTAAACACATTAAAAATATTATGCCCGGAAATTAATATTCAATATAACCTAGTAAATAGTAAACAATTTTGACAGCGGTAAATGCGCGCGAGCCTTAAGCGCGAGGACTTCAAAATAGTGATGTGCTAAAGTGATGTGTCGAGTCATGTCGACTTAAATATTGACTCAAATATCTGTAGGTACTCAGGTACTCAATCAGTTATGAGTATTTGTGATATTTGATTACTAGTCGTGTGTTTACAGTATATTTTTATGTTTCTGTTTCGTTATTTCATATTTTTTTACCAAAGAAAAAATTATTCAATGATTGAATGGATATTTTTAAATTTCATTAAAAATCGATTTCAGAAATCAATTGAGACTTCGGTCTATTGATCGTAGAGTTATTCAAAACCTTATCTAAAAAATGCGGTCCTAACTATAAGAAAGAAAGGTTAGCTTAGTTTAGCTAGTTTATATCTACAACTGTTTGTGAAAATAAACAATATCAAAATTAACTGTAACTTTATTTGTAACTTATTTTTTCCTAATTTTATATTAAAATGTAAAACCATGCGTGAGAGAATGTGTTTGTTTATAAGCGTATTTTATGTATTGTAACCACGTATTTTCACATATATAAGTATAGTACCTTACTAATGGTAAAGAATGAGTGAGTTGAAGTTAGAATATTTCGTAAATAAATTACTTTTATGTATTATCACAGTATGTACGTATGGTACATGAGATCTGGTAATAACTTTATATGTAAATAATGTGCTGTTTTGATTATGGACCTAAATTAATAAAAACAATAGGGACTTTTGAATCTTAAAACTAATTAAGACTACAAAGTAACAAGTTTAGTAGAGCATGTTTGTAACAGAACATACATAACATAGTAACAAAAAGTTTTAAATTATTGAGTTTTATATCTCAATATTGTAAACAGTTTAAAGTAGCATCTAGTAAAATAAGTGTTATTTTTTTTTATTAATGCACTCACAAGGTCTGACCTTGAATATTGTTGTCAAGTTTGGATCCTCTCTTAAACGGTGCATTGAAAATATATTGAATAAGTGCTAAAACGATTCCTGTGGCATCTATCTTATAGGACTGGCATGGCTAAGAAATTGTCTTCCTTTAATGAAAGAATAAATTATTTTCAATTAAATAGCCTAGAAAATAGAAGACAGTTGTTTGACCATACTTTTTTCCATAAACTTATAAATGGTGCTCTGGATTGCCCTAAACTGTTAGATCAAATTACTATAAATACACCGCGAAAATTACCTTATAGTATAAAAATATTATTTATTTTCAAGTACTTAATCTATTTAGGTTTAATCTGGGATACTTCAACAATTCACGCAATGTAAAATAATTATAATATTATGGCAAAAAATTCAGATATTGACATATTTGTAAATTTTAATACATTTAAATGTGCCGTTCTGAAACATTTTAATAATAATAAAAAAAAAATCATCCTCTTTAATATGAAGTGAATAAACATTCAATTCAAGCTTACCTGTATATTTATGCATGACACCTTTTTATGTTATTTTGGTTAAAAATTAAATTATTTCTTTTCTTCTGAAAAATTTGTGCCTGTCATTGTAATCAGTAATTAAGCTAACAATATACATATATAAAAGACTTTATATATATTCTTTATTGCACTAAAACATACAGTGATAACAATAAGTTAAAAACAAAGTTAACAAAGGCGAACTTATCTCTATGAGAGATTTCTTCCTGTCAACCTAACACAGTGGCATAGGAAGTAGTGAGTGGGCAGTAGTAGTACTAGTATACTAGTAGTAAAGTCAAAGATTTTGTTATTCCTTGTTTTTAGGGTAGTAGTGTAATTAAGGATGATTTAAATTAATGAAAAATCTATTTAAGACCAAAGTATCAATAAGGCTAAATATCATAATACTGTTACCTAAAATATTTTATTTCGATATTCTAGGTAATATTAATGTTACTATTTTGGTTTGTGATACCTAACTACTACTTAACTGGGAGGAAGGGATTGTTAGTAATGCGGGCCACCAGTTCAATTGCTAGCAATATACCTTCTCAAGTTGACCTCCACGTGGTCCCCCTTTAAAACCATCGTCCTGAATTCCAGATGTATTCATCACAATTGGCTAACACCTATCTTTTCATTCTCACCTTTATCTATCACTGGTGTTCTGTCAGCATATACTGTTAGCACAGGTGGATTAACCATTCCATGGTCATATATAAGAGATGATATCCCTTAAAAAAGAAACATTAATTTAAACAACCTTTCAATCCACATAGATATGTATTTGTAGTTCCTTAGGTTAAATTTGGAGTTGCTTCATTTTTATCTACTTTATCATATGAGCAATATGACAATTTTTTTTGACTATATTTGTTGGCCTATGTTCAATAATGGTCGAATAATGGCTGCAATTATAAGAATGATGATCGACTTTATTGACCGTCTACTATTATTACATTAAAACCGGATGTTGTATTATCTTGTCTATGAAATTTTTTTTTTTATTATGTATCATGTCATGGCTGGCGAAGCTTGATTTCTTTTCTTACAAAAGTGAGCTTGGTTTTCTTTGAATGCGGTGATCACCGTCAGTTTAACTTTTATTTACAATTTAGACAAGCTAACTTGTAGGCACTTTATGTTTGTTATACATCGTATATGTGTTGTTGGACATTCATTAAAATGATACTAATGTAATAGAGAAAGGAATACATCAAACAAAATGAACGACGGCGACTGGATTTGCCCTGATGCGAATTGCGGAAATATTAATTTTGCCCGACGGGTTTCATGTTACCGCTGTAATAAAGAGCGACCGGACAGTGGTAAACCTTTTAAAAAGAAGCTTGGCACAGAAATTGGCAAGTCGGCAGCCGAGAAGTCTCGTGGTTTATTCAACGCAGATGACTGGCAATGCAATAAATGTGCTAACGTTAATTGGGCCCGGCGTCAGACCTGCAATGTTTGTAACGCACCGAAATTCGGTGAAGTACGTATATACGTAGATTATTGGTAATATTGGGCAGTTTTATAGTTATAAATGAGTAAAATTTTATATATTTGTCTCTTAACAGGTGGAAGCTCGCACTGGATATGGTGGAGGATACAATGAGAGAGGCGTAGTGGAGTACCGCAGGCGAGAACCCTCTTCAGATGACGAATATGATGAGTTTGGAAGAAAGAAACGCAAGCGCAAACCTGAAACACATGATAAGGTGGGTTTCCTATGTTTACAGCTTTATATCATTTAATTTTTGTATAGACTTGTCTATGATGCACTTACTAGAGATATTTGATTGAGGTTTTTTAAGTTTAAATTTGTATTAATAATAGGTACTGAACCAATTGGATTTACACTGCACAAATTTTATTACTTTTCCAAATTGATTGAACCTTGAATATAACATAGTTTTAAAAATATTTTTCATACAATATTCATATTTACACTAATGTTCCCATAATTATTGCATTTACAATTCAGTATGTATTTATTTTTTTAAATAAATGGTTATAGAATATGTATTTATTGCTATAAATAAATATTTTTTCTTGTAGAAATGTATTTAATTGTTATGATATGTTTATAATAATCATTTGTCTTCATTGATATTAAGATTCTTATTTATTGGTATATTATTGTATAATTTTATGCAACTATTTGAAAATAATAAAGATTAATTAATTAATTAATTGGCACAAGAATATTGTTATATGTTTAATATGTTATATATTAGATAGTTAATTTTTCTAGAAGTAAACAAATATGAATATTGTTGATAACAAGTTGTAGGTGTAATATATGTATTATTTATATCAAAATAACTATATATACAAGTCCTTATCAATAATTTTCACCTCATTAAATATAAAACAATAGTTAATTGTTCTGTCTCTTATTTAAAAATTTTATTAAAAATCTAGGGGAAAACATTTGAAGCTAAGAAGATTTGATGTTAATGTAAGTGCAATAAAATTTTGAAGCACATCATTATTAAAGTGGAGATTATTTTTCCTGCCTTCAGGTTGGCATCACTGAAGGGGCAGCATTCAAAAAAATGCCACCAACAATACTGCAGAAGGAAACTAAGTTGGATCTTGCAATGCCTGTGCCAGCAACAAAAGTGTCATATGTTAATAAAGAGCAAGCCCATGTTAATGGCAGTCTTAGTGATGGATCTGTCTGTGAAGTGCCTCCACTCACTAAAACAGCATTTAGGAGGAACCAACTTCAATCACAAACAAACTATAATAGACAGGACCACATGTTGCCCACTTTCAAAACAAATGGTGTCAGATACCGAAAGCGGTTTATTAGTACAGGCGATAGAGAACATAGTGTCTCCTCAGGTTATGAAGTAGTACCAAAGAAGTCTAAACTAGGGACAGAGGTTTCCACAGTCAAATCATACAATCCAGTTATGGAGAATAGAGTATCTTCAACCAATAATGAAGTGATTTATAAGTTTACTGGATCCACTCCTGCAGAAGATTTTCAAGTTACATATACTTTGGAAGAAAGAGTGAAAGCAGCAGCTTTTGCTATTGTATATAATAATTGCAAAATTAGTACTGATAGATTTGAATCTCTTTTTGATAAACCAGCACCTGATTTTAAAACTATTTTTGCATGGAGACAACGCCTTTTGTCAACCGGTTGTTTAGTTGATAGCCATTTAGAACTCAAGAAAGATACTTTTGAGAAACCACAGGCTACGGCTGTGACTTCTAACAATACTTCTGTTTTAGAAAACAAAAATATTAAAAGACTTCCTAATCCTGATGAAATCCCTATTATATCTGATAGTGATAATGATTGTGATAAAAAATCACCAGTACCTCCAAAAGCTTTACCATCCTTGAGCCACAGGAGTATGAGTGTTGAAACATTATTAATTGGTGGGATGGACAATGAAACTAATGTAGCAGGTGGTTCTAGTGCTGGAGAGGGCAGAACCTCACAAGCTAGGAGTCAGTCACGTTCAACACATCACCAGACCCGTTCTAGTTCATGTGATAGCCGAGATTCTAATTATTCTGATACAGATTTAGAACCAGGTAGTAAAAGAGCAAGGTCTAAACCAATAAAATCCATGAACAACTCTAATCATCTTTCAGGTACTTCAAACAGACAATCTAATCGGGATTCAGATTCAGAGTCTATATCATATAATAGTGATGAAGATAATTTCTTATCGAGAGTTTATCAAGGTGGCAGGAAATTAAGACGAAAAACAAAGAGATCATCCATTCCCACAACCAAAGTTGTAAATAATGTATCTGAAACACCTTCATTTATAGGATATAATACGGCAAAACAATTGGAAAAGTCTCCATTAGTAACTGGTAATATTTATATGTCTAACTTGCGTAACATGGGAGTTAAAAATCATGAAAGTATAACAGTAGACATTGATGGCTGCTCAAATGAGTATGTTCCTACGAAACTAGGATCAACAACAAAGAATTATCAAGAATTCAAAAATAATGTAAAGAGAAAAGGTTTTTGGGCTAAAGGAAATGGAACCACTATGGTTAAAAATAAACAACATGTTACAAATGTTTCCAAAACAAGAACACTCGAAGAATTTTCTAACAATGCTTATATGATATCTCCACATGGTTATGTTACTCAGCAGCTAATGCAGCAACCAATACAGCCATTAGTACAGAAACCAATAAATGAATTTGCACAGAATCCAGTACAGCTATCAGTACTGCAATCAATAGAACAATTGCCAAAGCAACCACTAATACCAAATAAAAGCGAAGATTTTACTAAAGATGAATTCGATCAATTTACAAATGTTGATAATTTTCTGCCATTTGATAAACCCAGTCCATTACCTATATCAACTCCACAAATGTTTAATAATGTAGAGAAATCAGTGGGGAATTCATCATGTATATTTGACATAGTACAGTCTCAGTCTACAACAAAAAATAGAAGTATAATGGATATATTTGGAAATAATGATGGAAATGAAAACAGTACAGAGTCAAAGGAATTAGAAAAATTGGATAGTGTCCCGAAAATTTATGAAACTGAGTGGGACGATGATGACGATGCTCTCTACAAAGAATCTACTACACCTGACAAAAAACGCACACCATCCCCGCCAAGTATTGGATCACTTAGAGTTCAAAGTCCTATGTCTAGTATATTATATGCTTCAGATATTGAGACACCAAAGAAAAGTAAGGATATACCAAATGCAACTATGGACATTATTAGGGAGAAACATGACATATTGTTAGGTTTGTTAAAAGAACTCAAACCTAACAAAGAAAAAGAAACAAATGCACATTCCTCTAATCACATAGAAATGCAACAAGAGAGAAATGATACAGATACTAGTGATACATATCATGCTAAATCAGTAATAAATACATCATCAAATCTTCTGTTAACTAAACCTGATACAATCCCACAAGAGATAACTAATGAGATTATTTCTATTCCGGAAGAATCATTTAATGGACGAGTGTCTGCTGCAACCTTACCTCATGAAAATGCGACAAAAAATATAAGTCCATCAAAGCGCGTTCAAATTTTAGAATCGGTTACTATATATCCAGGCGGAAGTCGAAAGTCGTCAGTATCACATGAATTGAGCAATATCACCATTAATCATCAGGAATCTGATGTTCAGATTTTACAATCTAATCCTTCATTACAACATGAAAGTGATGTAGAGGAAGTAACAGTACAGACTTCACCAGCCCAACCAGCACCATCAGTGGATTTAAACAACTTACTGTCAGGGATTAACACAAATACACTTCTACTAGCTCTTCAGAATTTGCAACAATTAACGCAACAATCAACAAATAATACTAACAATTTAAATGATTCAGATGACGTTATACAAATTAATGATAGTGATAAAAATGAAGAAGTAGAACCTATAAATATTACAAATGACGAGGAGTGGGAAAAGGAGACAAATCGCGGCGGTAGTATAGAGAGAGAATTAGAAAAGTTGGATGGAGTTCCTAGTGACACACCTTTTTTAAGTGATATTTTTGATCCTGGTCCAGTGGTTATACCACAGAACGTCGCAAGAAAATTAAATCTAAATCTCATATCTGCAGATGACAGTAAAGCCGAAAACAAGGCCAATCTAAATCAAAACGCTCCAGTAATTGGAAATTTCAAAAGTTTTGCATTGCCAAAACCTATAATGTTGAATAGGCTTAAATTAACTGTGAAAACTGCAGACAAAAATGTAAAAAAGACAACAAATGGAAAAAAAGTAAAGAGAAGGAGAAAGGTTTGTATTAGAATCTTCTATCGGCTTTTCATCTAATAGTCATCTGGAGCTTTTGTTGAAAATATTTATAAATAATCTATCATACTATTTGAACTGTTTTGTTTCAGAACAAAGCTTCTGGTTCCCAAGGTGAAGATGATGGTGAAGAGGAAGAAGATGAGGAATCTGGTGATGATGCTGATCTTTCTAAATATGATTTATGGGGAAGTGATGAAGAACAAGGAAATTCTTCAAAAGCTGGTCAGTTGTGTATTTGATTGAATTGAACTTAGTTGCTCATTCTAGAATTCTCATTTAAATGTACATGATTTGCAGAAAATACAGATAAGACCAAAAGCGGAGAAACATCGAAGGGGGAAGGCTCAGAAACGGCAGATAAGAATGGTAATTCAGCTTCTCCAGAAACGAAAAATAGTAAGAGAAGGTTGGTCAAAATATGGGAACGGTTAACTTTATATTTAATTCTAATTTTAATATTACAAATTTACCGTGTTGAAACATTATATAGTTTTTGATTTAATTTTCTTTGACAGGTCTAGGAGCTCGTCGTCATCATCCAGTTCCTCCTCCAGCTCTACTTCTAGTCACAGCTCATCACAGGCTCCTAAAAATAAGTATGTTCCATATCTTTTACATAGTGCTAATTTTTTTTTTGTTACTAGTCACACAGGTCCTTGCTTCATTCAAATAAGTGAGAATGGTGTTATAGATAGACGTGATAACTCTAGGAAGTCGTGATTGTAATACGCCTAAAATAGAATGAAACACCAATGTCTTGTTTCTTTTTTTTTCGATGACTAACTTAGTGCATTGTACATAGTTTTTTTTTGTACAATAGTTGACTATGGAATTCCACTTGCAGTTAAGTTGTTAAAAGGTAGGTAGCTTTTGAACTGCCTCATGCTGGGCTATTCGCTCTCGTAAATAGACGATACTGATATTATATGTATTAAATTTTTTGTATGTTGTTTGTAATGGATAAACTAAAAAAAAATAAGTATTATAATATACATATACATAATAATTCTTTTACCTACACAAACTTACATTATTAGTGAGTATTATACATATAATACAGTCCGTATTTTATATAAAAAAAAAAAAAAAAAAACTGAAGGTTATCTAGTCGCTAGTAGGGAATATTTAAGAAAAATTATCATCCTCCATGTTAATTTTTCTTAACAAGAAAAATCGAACAATTTTTTTTTAGCATTTTGTCTCTCTGTTTGCATATTTGTACATATCACTTTCACGCCAAAATTGTACTAAATTGGATGCAGTTTTAACAATTATAGTCTTGAAGGTCTAACTTTAAATTTAGTATATATTTTATCTTTATACACCATTTAAAATTGGTCTAATTCTTTAGTTCAAAAACTAAACGTTTTAAAATGCAGTTAAAAGATAGTATTGTAAACAATTATTTTCGACTAGCTGATGCCCGCGATTTTGTCCGCGTGGTGTTTGTTATTCCTTCCATTAACATTTTTAATCTCCTTACTGTAGTGAAGACTCTCTCTTTGCCTTAGGTTAAAATGACTTAGTAGGTTGTGTACTAAGCTCTGTAAGTTACTTTATTTTTTTACTATCCCACGGGAATTCTTATTTTTTTCGTGAATAAAAGTGTCTAAAATTTTGACTGGGGATGTAAGGTACCACCGTGCAAAATTTCATTTAAATCAGTCCAACTGTTTTGTATATTAGACTGTACAAACAGACATAGAAACAAAAAAATTGAAAATAAAATTGGAATGTGTCTATTTTACTTTTGACATCCCTCTGATTCGGTTTTTAGCATTTTATTTTCTATGTACAGACACTCGACCTCTACAATTTTATATGTATAGATGTGCATCGTATATATTTGTGTTGCAGATTCGATGATTTCAACCTGAATAGTGAGCGCGAATATTCGCCGAAGGGACGCAAATCGCGGTCGCGTTCGCCTCGATCGCGTTCCAGTAATGCACCAGTAAGACGCAAGTCGCGCGACAGCCGCTCAGCCGGCGAATCCAGGTACAATTTTATCATCAATATAGTTATTACTAAATGTAGAACAGGTGTTACCAGCATCCAAAGGCTACAGAGACATTTTAGCATCAGGCGGGATATTTGTTTGCCTTCGTGGTAAAAAAATGTAGGGCAAAAAATATTTTTGCTTCGTTGGTTTGCTTTGTATATTTTTATATAATTTTATCTTTCTAAAACACCGTGTTTCCATACCAGCATACAGCCCTTTTGCCCATAAGTTATGTGCATTTTGTGTAACTTAAATAAGTTAAAGAACTTTCACCCAAGTTCTAACAAAGTATTACTTGTCCAATCACTGGTGTTTCTTTTGTTGGACTATGCTGATGTGTGTTGTTCAAATATGAATGAGGACCTTAATAAATTGGATCGTCTTCTTAATAATTGTATTGGCTTCATTTATGGGCTGTGTAAGTACGACCATATCTCATTCTATAGTTCTCAGCTTAAATGGCTTTCCATCAGATAATGTAGTAATGTTCGTCTGCTCTGTACATTTCTATTTTATACGATCCAAACTCTCCTGAATACCTTAAGACTTAGTTTAAATTTCACTGAGACGTTAGTACCCGTTGTCTTCGATCTACTAGAAATCTGCTACATGTTTCTGTCCACTACACTGGCTCTTCCTCTAATTCTTTCGCCATTCAGGCTATCAAGCACTGGTATGCTTTACCCTTTTGACATTAGATCTGCCCCAAGTAAAATAGCATAAACTCCGTTCTTTTTATTTAGAATCCATAGAACACTGCTGTCTGATGTTGTTGATGCCTTTGTATCTGAGTAGTTTTTTATCCGATATTTTTTATTATTATAATATATATGTATGTATGTAGAAGAGATTGCTTTTAGCGATAAGGTCGCCTATTGTTTTCTCATTGTGATTATTCCTTGTATTTGTTTATATTTATAATAAGTTTACTATTGAAATCTTTTGAAGGAAACAATAAAGAGTATCTATGTATGTATAATGTAAAATTTATTATGTATAATGTAGGTAATATAAGTATTACATGTGTTTTAAATTATTGATTTAATTTATTATTGTTCATTACGTTGCATCGTCAATTCAATTGTGTTATTTCGAATAATTTATCTACCTAAGATTTTTAGATATTTCTTATATTTATTACTTATGATTTCCGAATGCAGGGTTACTTTTTGCATTAGATTAATTCACGCTTGGTTTATCACATCTGATGGAAAATATCAAGCTTACGTCACAAGAATTAATGTCTAGGATAGAACTGGCACTCCCGTGAATTCAATAATAATAACTACGCTGTCGCGTAAGTACACGAGTGCTACTTCTACCCTTCTTATTGTTATGCATTTAAAAATATGCAGTGTGTTCTGTTGTTACTAGGTCATCCCGCGATAAAGAGAGGTCACGTGATCGCGAGCGACGCGACAAGTCGCGGGGAAGTCGCGACGACCGCAAGGAGAGACGCTACAGCCGTGAAGGGAATACGTACCCCGCGCGTGGACGCCACCGCTGAACGTAACAATATTGATAAACTTAATAAGAATCGTAATGTAAATAGATTTGATTACGGCACTGTGCATTATAATTTATGTGAATTTTTATCTTAGATGTCGTTTACTATATAAGCGGAATAAGATCTAGGAATCTTAATAAATGGTGTCTAAAGTATCTACCAATTTGTGACAAAAGTTTCTAAAGATTTTGTTTAAATAAATTATGTATCAATCCTATGAGAACTGTTGGATCAAAAGGCGTTAATATTGCTTATTAACGGGACAGTTCAATAGTTAAAATGTTTTATCTTTGGATGTCATTGATGGAATTGTGATGATTAATCATTAAAAATGGCAACGTCATGATTTCTTATCAAGTTTTTATAATGTTCATATTATGTACCTATTGTTTTAATAGTACATTATTTAGTCATGCTAAAATTGGGTGCAGTGTGTTCTTTAGAGATTGTTTTTTTTTGTTGTAACCGTCGCCGTTGTAACGCTGAGAACAGCGTCATGCACTACACAGATTACACTGTGCCTCATTTGTTACCATTTCTCAAGACTGGGGTATTATTATGTCTGTATTTCAGTAATTTCATTGCTAATACTCACTGAAACACGAGTAGAACAAGCAAATACAAATTCTTTCTCTGTATGTAAATAATAATGACAGAGTATTGCAGTGTTGCCATTTTTAAGATAATGATTTATTGGTAGGAGTTCTTTTTATCACGTGATAGTCATCATGTAAGCCATGTGTGCTGATAATGTCGACGATAAATGACCATTAAAGTAGGGCGGGTAAGATATAGCAATATTTATATATTGTAGTTATAATATCTATATATTGGTAAAACAACGGACGTATTAAATATCGGTTATCCAATATATAATATCGATATGAAGGACCCGATCGAAATAAATATATAGATACCTAACTGGTATGGACGATATCAAAAAGGGGTGATGACCTTTTTCTTCCATCAATGCCCAGAGATATATAGATATCGGAGGGATACTAATACTATCATTGCTATTAAGTAGCATTCTATCCTTATATAGGTATGCAGTTCGTAAGTACATAGGTATTCGATTTGATATAAGGGGTTTGAAGAGTTATCAAGCGTGTTTTGTGTGATATTTGGAATTCATACGAATTTACCTAAAGTTTTTTTACCTTGATACGGATAAAGTATGCAAACTAAAAAGGTTTTGCCTACTTAGGGTTTGATGAATTGATTATGTACATAATACGATCTAGTTCTAAATGTTCCAATTTACTATATAAGATTATAATAATTATAGATTATTGTAATACTACCAATTAGTAGTAATTTTCGCTTTGTGATAATTTGCTTTATAGATATTATATTTTCTTTTGTGTAGTTGAGTGTCTGGACTGCAAAGTTTTATAATTATCTGATCTCCATCGGTTTCGTTGCGTACTTTTAAAAACGCACATCGAACTATTTTGCAATTAATTGTATGCATTTAGTATTGAAGTGTAATTAAAGTTTGTTATAATTATTTTGACATGCATTCATTTTGATTCGGTGCCAAAATTGTCACTGCAAGTTGACCTTTCTTTTGCCTTAAACATCTTGAATTGCTCTAGAAATTATATGATTGCAAGGTGAAGCTATAATAAAAGTGAGAAGAAGAAGATTCGAATTAAGGATACTTGGGTTCAGCCGGATATAGGACATATTCAAAGTAAGGTTTTGTTTCAGCCGTTGCTGTTCTTAATGACTGAAAATGAAATGATAATCTTGCTTCGTTTGGTTTTCGCAGGCGGGTTAGTAAGGGATGATATGTAAGTCACTTTAGTTGACTCATATTAACCGTAATGGTTCCTAGAGGAACCACGTGGTAGTCGATCTTATGGGTGTGTAAGTCTAAGTAGCTAGTTTTTATACGGAATGAAAATTAAATGGTATTCAGGCCAGTTGGCCTATTGTTACGGTAACAGTGGTTTCGAGGCGGATCGCGTAGAGATTGTCGTCATGATATTTGTTTACGGCCAAGGTGGAAAACTACGTTCTACAAATTTTGTGGTTTTGATTCATACTTATTTTTTTATTTGTTAATAACTGTATGGCAGTTTTACTGGAAGTAATTTTTATAAAATTTGACAGTAAATAATGTTAATAATTATAATTAAGATGAAAGAAGAAAAGTATAAATCTAAATCATAAAAATGGAATTTTTGAAGTTTTCTACTTACGTCAACGATAAACAGCGTCTGTTAGGTTAGGTCAGGTCTGTGTTAGGAAATTGAGGTTATTTGTTAGTGATCTATGTTAGATTACTGCAGACCTCATCAGTTATTACCCAAAGTCTAGTTTTCCACGTTTACATTTCTTTTTTCTCGATTATGACTAAGAAATCAGTTTTATTTTTGGCTTCAAGTTCTTGTGATAGATTTTCTCCAAAAGGTATATGATAAATATTTTTTTTTATGATGTGAACTATTAGATGCTATACAAATATATTTTCAAATATACAAATAGATTGTATAATTGTATAATTGAAAATATATCTGACACATACTTTATTTGCAAGTGAAAATATAGTAACATTGTTTAATTTAAAAATCTTGAGTTTATTGCGTGTGCAACTGTGAACGGGATTTTGTGTTATTAAAAAATCAAGAAATCTGCAAGCGTTTTGTTTTCGCTTAGTTATATGATGTAAATATAAAATTAAAATAATATTTTTTTTTGGAATTGCTACACAAAAATACTGTTTGTTTACTGTTATTATTAAGTAACTATCTACTAAGGAAACTATGTATGGTATAGATTTGCCATTAAAATTGGTATGATATAAAAATCTCTTTATTTTATATTTTTATCAACAATATAGTGTCACAATTACATTGTAAATACAAACAAAAAATATACGAAAATATAGAAATGGTATAGGTATTACCCTTTTGCAGGTTGTTCTGAAATTAAAGAAAATATATATTTTTTTAGGTTTCTCTCTTTTTTTTTCCTAAATAAAAAAAATAAAATAGGACGAGTTTGCAAGAATTTGATTCTAATTCAGAAGATTTAATTAATGGTCATAAGTATAACAAAATATAAATTACAGTAAAACTAGGTAAACTGTTAATATATGGCTTTTAAAATTTTATCTGAATGGTGTAGCTATGTTAAAGGTAGTTATTAATATATTTACCTCCGTCCAAGCAGCGACATTCCTGCAAAAAGAATTCCTTCAAAATAAATGAAGAAATGAAGAATTTAGAGATAATTCTGTAACTATGCTTGATTTCTATAGATTGTGACCAGATAATGTTTATAAGTCTGAATATATGATCTATGGCCGGTATGTAGGTACATATCTCAATAATCCTTACTAATATTATAAATGTGAAAGTGAATTTGTTTGTTTGTTATCTTTTAGGCCCTTAACGCCTTAACTAATGACTGAAATTTGATATATGCGTATTATATGGGATGGAGAAGAACAGAGGCTTTTTACCAGTCAACGTATCCCTATCACGTGGACGAAATCACGGGTAAAAGCTATTAAATTTATAAGTATCTCAGAATTTAAGACAAAAGTGAAAAGTTTTAGAGACTATTGAATGAACTATTTTTATTCGCAGACAGGACAGTTTAAAGGAAAGCCGGTGACAGCGTACGATATATAATATATATTGCTGCTTCATTTACATGTCATAATTTAAGATTCTGTTTCACAAGAAAAGAACACAGGCTTTAATCGTGGGGAAAACAGATATTATAATTTAAAAACTAAATTACCGAATCAATTTTAATAAAATTTCTACGGGACCAATCTGAAGGAATATTTCTCGGATAAAAAACAAAATTTTTCAATTTGTTTTATATACGTAAATGAGAGAGTTCTGAGATCATCATTTTCCTACTCTTATCCCAATTATTATTAACAAATATAAAAAAAAATTCAACCGAATTGATAACCCTCTCATTTTTTGAAGTCTGTTGTAAATACAGTTTTATAATATGTATATATCACGCTGTAATCTTCCTGGCATGATTTATGTTAATCATGACTTACGAGTTATTACAATGATCGCTATAGTTCATTCACTCTTGAAACTTGTGAACCTCTGTTAAATGTCACGATGAGTTTAATTCCCAGGGGTCTAGGTGGTAAATGATTCCACTTCTAAATGAGTTACTGCACGCATGAGAATGAACGCGGGACCGTCTATATCCGGCGTCTGCTTGCTTATAAATCTAATTGTAAGCCTATAAATGCGGGCGGTAGCCGTTTCCTAATAGAACAATATTATATCTAGGTCGTGCGATTTCTGCCTATTTTAATGAGTAAGTTTCGTATGGATTATGCGATTGAAATAATTCTAATTATTTAAATCAATAAAAATGGAATGGTAACGCTTCGGCGTGGATTTAGTTTCTATTACGGTTGTGGTCACAGAATCCCGAAAATCGGCTTAGTGTGAGTCAGAGTATGGACGCGCTTATGATCGATATAGTGCATTTGTATAAAGGAGATATTATTAAAATATATGACGCTCTGACCAAGGTTTTGTATAGTGTACATGTGGGCACAACCATGGGGCGAACACTATTAAATTAAACCCGTAAAATGTTATTTTGTTCTCTCACGAAATTTACAAAAGTATTAAAAGTATATAGGTATTGGATATAATATCATTAGCCTATCGACCTCAATAGATCGTGAAAATGTGACATCACAAGTATGTTAGGGTTTTTTTTCAATGAATGATAAGGAATGGTAACCTCGCACGTGCTACTGTATACGCTGGCGGGGCACCAATGAGGGATGATAGGTAAGATGAAAGGGCAGATCTGACAGAGTATATTGCTAGCAATGGGACCGGTAGTCCGTATTACTAAAAATCAGTTGGCCCATTGTGATTACTTCACTAAGAATTAATCACGTTGGTTTCCAGGGAGGATTGTGGAACTTAATCTAAATACTCTACATTAGTCTACAATACTAACAAGGTGGTTGCTAGTTTCCGCTATTAACAATTCCTTCTTTCCCAAAACGTACATGCCCCACTTCGATGAACGCTCTACCAGAACGTTCTGGTCATATATTTTACGTGTACCAGGCCATAGGCAACGACTAGTAGATAATCAAAGAAATAAAAAATAGACATACATCACCGTTAAGTATAGGCTTTTGAGGTGGTTTCGATATATCTGGTTTTCTTGACGGCGACTTGGGAGTACAGGTTGCGTCCACGGCTCCACCTGTTACAAATCAACGGCATTGTGAACTTTTTTTTAAAGTAACAAGAATGGCAATCTAGAGCTACGAGTATAATACTTTATTTGCATCATCGATATCTTACTAATCTTACTTCTTACTAATATAATAAAATTGTAACTAGTGAATGTTTGTACATAGAACATAATGAAAAAATAATAATGTAAGGGATCTTAATAACTGCGATGGAAGCTAAACAACAATTTTTACAATTTTTGCCTGTCTGTATGTATGTTTATTGTAGCATCAGGTAAAAACTAGTGCATCAAATTGAATGAAGTTTTGACCTGATACATGTTTTATTTTGACACCCTAACTAAAAGTGATCCATTTTATTGGGTTCTTATTTCTGAAACCCATACGTACAAAGCGTAGCGGTCCAAAAGCTAGTCATAAATATTATTTTACTTAATCCTTTTTTTTGCATGATTTTTTTATTGGTGAAATAAATCAAAGTGATATAATTCATGTTCAAAATTAAAGGAAAAATTATTGTAAAAATAAATTTGTCAGCTATGCAGTCATGCTCACTAAAATGTCCAGACTTGTGGCGGCGTGGTGGGCCGGGTCATTGGAGCTCCCTAAAATATGGTCGAGCGCAGTGATGGCATCCGTCATACTCGTGAGGTGCTGCTTGTGGAACTGGTCTGCTCTTGACGATTTCCTCTTATTAATTGTTTTAACCAGTTTTTTTCTGCAATGGACATTAAAAAGTTATCCAGACACGATCAACTTAAAAGTGAAATTGCTCTTGTATATAGTTTTTGGGCATTTAATGTTATGATAGAAATTTCCATCTCTATGCAAAGAAAGATTAAGTATTATTCCAAAAAAAAATGAGTGTAATTTTGGCAAAGAGGTTTAAAGAACATAATCGTACCTGGTCCAACATTTGCTCCCTCTAATGGGCTCACTTTGTACATCTTAAAAATAAAAACATAACCATAATGATTTATTTAAATTAAATAGACATCTAAGTTACTACTTACATTACTGGTAGACATTAATTAAAGGTTTTTTTAATGAATGATAATGGAATGGTAACCCCACCTGCGCTGCGCTAACGGTATACGCTGGTGGGACACTAGTGAGGGATGACAGGTGAGAAGGAAAAGGCAAGTCAGTTAGCATATCGTGATGAATATACTTGGAATTCAGTATGATGATTTCCAGAGGGGACCCCGTGGGGGTCGAACTGGCAGAGTATATTACTAGCAATGGGACCGGTATTCCGAATTACTAACAATCCCTCAATTTAAAATGTTGCTCGTCAAATACTTATTATAAAATCAAATTTTGCAGTACTACATTTATAAAACTTGAAACAGAACTTTAACAACAGCTAGTTCAGCTAATAAAAACTGACAATCTTCGCCTATAGACGTGAACAACATTAGTCTTCAGAAACACTAACGTACGAGATGATCGTATCACGGGTGTCACAGTTTATTAACATGGCTTACATATTTAGTAATTGCATCATAACCAAAACAGCTATACATGGCTGCTTGGCGGGAGTAAACATCTAGGTATCTAGGTACTCTTAAATAAAGATTTCTAGTAGGTTTTGTTTTATTCATATTTTAGTATTTTTGTCTTACCCTGTGTATAGTCTTAAACTGTGTATAGTCTTACCCTTCCGTCATCTCCAGTAGCCAGTCCAGAAGATAGCGGTAGAACATCAGGCCCCCACTGCTTTATGAAGTGACCGAGTCGCGCGACGCGCTGTGCTGGTGTCGTTACAGTGTGCGAACCGCCGCAGTACCGGTTGCATATGTGTTTGTCTGTTTCTGATCTGTGTATGTGGTGGTTGTAACATGATAGTTTTTACTAGAAATAAGCAACAACTGAGTTACTTATTCATTCGATTTAGCTGAAATTGTATTCTGAACTGATAGATTCATAAAAAATAAAAATTAAAAAAATGCTTTTTTTATACCACTGAGGCAGCAAACTAGTTTCTCGTCAGTGTTGTAAGAGGCAACTAAGGGAACTTAATGGTCGAGGGATGGGCAGCAGCGTCCATCTTATAACATCATCCAAAGCCTAACTGCGGTTGAAAATCCGCCTGCCAGGCGTGGCAATTACTGGCAAAACCCCTCTTTTGGATGAGGCCTTTGTACAGCAGTGGACATTTAACTGTTAATATGAAGCAAATGTTACCTGACTTTTTGCGGTAGTCTGGACGTACTTTGCTTGTCTATAGTTTCCCAGTCGCGCATGTTTCGTTGTGGCAAATTACTTGCCTGTGACTTGCGTATTGCATCTACATGTGACAAAAATAGGTTTTAGAGGTGAGAAGTAGGAAATGTCTCTTTTGCAGACTAGAAGACAAGAGAACCTATCAGTTCATCCATGAATCAAACAAAAACACAACTTCACCGCTGGTAAATAACTAAGATTGTAATAGATATTATTTTGTGAAGAATTGTCCAAAGCCAAACTGCCAGTTTTCTAATTAGGTACTTCAATAGTTTGGTTGTTTTGTTTCATAAGAGCATCTAATTGACACATAGTCTATATCGTATGTCGTATATTGACTAGATGTGAACTCACGATCTTTGTGGTCTATAACACTGGGCCATGACATAGTATATAGATATTTAACAGATGTTTCGTCTAAACACTGACCTAGTTCGTAGCTAAGATATGGTTTCATGGAGAGGTTGGCGGGCATCGGTTTACTTATCGGTAACGTGCTTGCCGCCTCCATTTGCATTACCGCCTTAGCATCGCAAGATATGCAGTTCACGTCCCTGAAAGTTTATGTTAATTAAAGTCGCATTCTGTTTAGTCGCGTGGAACTGTTTAAATTGTTACGTGAAACGAATAGTTTACTAGTTATGAAGAATGATAGATATGTCTTTTAACATAGGTACCTTTAATGGGATGCTTTACCTGCTTGCTCTATCGATAAACACTGGCGGGTATCAGAGTATGCTGACAGGTGAGGAAGAAATCAGGTTTGTTGGCTTATCATGACTAATTCATTAGGAATTAACCACGATTACTTTCAGAGGGGAACACGCAGAGGTCGACTTAATAAGGTGTGTTGCTAACAATGAGGTTATATATGTGGGGAAGGGATTGTTAGTAATGAAGAGGTTGGTATCAATATATTGCTATCCATTGTTATCAATATACCCTAGCAGGTCGACCTCCACGCGGTTCTTCCTGGAAACCATCATGACTAATTTATCGTTGAATTCGTCATGATCGGCTAACTGACCTGCCTTTTCATTTTCACTAATCATCTCTCACTAGTGCTCGGCCAGTGTATACCGATAGCGCAGGGGGGTTCATCATTCCATTATCATCCATTAAAAAAACAATGAGGTTATAAAGCCCATTAATAACAATCTCTTTCCTCGCGTAAAATAGGTCCTAGTTCTCCTTGACAAACGAATTTATAGAAAGATATCTTATTACTAATTTGTGCATTAGTGCGTTAGAACAAGACTGTCTATTTGACGTTTTGTTCTTTCTCATATGTGCAGTAACGAAAATATATCTGCGGATAGATTCATTTACCACTTACGTAGGAGGGTTGAAAGATTAATAGTTTTATTTAATACTGTCGTGAAGCCAGTAAATGCATTCGTTTTTGCTTTTATTGATGCTGGACAAATCAGTGCAATATGCGACTTATAGGGACTTAGAGGTTGAAACCTTAGGAGTAACAAACAATACATAAGGGATGCCTTGTGTGGTATATAGTACATATCTATATATTCTCCAAATATATAGTTAATCTTTTCGTTTATAGGTAAATGATTATCACTTTCAATGAGATCAGCCTGATAGCCCAGTTCCCAGTAGTGTCTAAAATTAGTAAATCCTGAATAAGTACCTCAACAGCCTCTTTTTAGTACCAGCCGCTTCGGCCTCTCGTCTCAAAGCTGCCATTTGCTTTAAATTCTCTTGTAGTTGCCGCAGTTTGTTATTAAAGAAGTCCTTCACGGGTGACAGTTCCATCTTGTCCAATTTCGTTTCGATTTCACGCTGTATATCGTCTAAAGCTTGTTGCCATAATGCTTCCTGTAAAGAGTCATCATTGTCATTATATCACTGTTGAACATAAGCTTTCCCCTTGGGGGGTTTTGCCAGTAGCTGCCAAGCTTTTCAGGCAGATTGGCAACAGTTAGGATTTGGAGATGTTTTAAGAGGGACCCTGCTGCCCATCCCTTGCCCTCTCTTAGTAGCCTCGTACGACACCCACGGGAAAGGAAGAGGTGGTCTATTATATGCCGGGAGCACACGAACCTGCACTATAAATAGTAATAAATTATATAGTTATTTAAATAACAAATAACTAATTTAACTGTTTAAAATAAATCTTAACATGTTAGACAGCGCTCTCTAGTCCCAAACTAAACGGAGTTTCTACTATAGGCATACATGATATGACTTGCGTAAGTACATAATATGATAATTATGTAGTAGTTACTTTTATGTTTTTAGTCAATGAATAAATATACTTTTTTATATATTTATATATACATATATAATAATTTTATATGAATATATAGGTATCGGTACAAAATATAAAAAAATATCATATAGTATAGGAATTGAACTCGTGGACAATCGGAATGTGCTTCACTTTCCGACTTTTCCGAACTTTATATATATATATATATATATATATATATATATATATATATATATATATATATATATATATATATATATATATATATATATAAGTTGATAATGTAGCTTTACATTCATGTAACATAACAAAAGTTATATATTATTTAAAAAAAAAATAGATATCCTACAAAAAATACAATAGTATAACTCTAGGTATTAAAAATACTAATGGATATTTTCTGATATTCGTACAGGACGTCTAAGGTTGAAAATGTAACTTAATTGATGAGGTATAATAAAAATAACTCTAAAAATGATAGTACAATAAAACTATGCATCTATTAATTTTAATAATAATATAGAGAACATTATAATCTATAGACCTGAATGTTGAGTTTTCCAAGAGCAAGCTCCAGTCCTCTGGACAGATCGTCGCAAGCCAGTTCGAATTGGTCACGCGACACTTTCCGTGCAAGCATGCGCAGATCTGCTTTTTCCGCCATAGCTTCCACCATGTCCTCTCTGTCTAATTTGATAGTCTTCAATAGTTCGATTTGTTCTAACAATGCCTAAAAAAGAAAAAGTCTTAATGTGTATATAAATGTACACTTCTGAAAATTATCGCGCTGAATTCCAGGTCTATTCATCACGATAAGCTAACTGTCCTGCCTTTTCATCTTCACCTATCTGCCCTGCAGGTATATATACGTTAGTGTAGGCGAGGTATTATTACATTGTCATCCAACAAAGAAATAGGAATATCGGTAGATCCCGTAAATAATCTTTATGTAACAATAATAATCTGAAAATGTTTTGGTCTTTAAATGAAATTTACATAATCATACCCACATCTTATCCCAATTCACTAGAGCAAATCCATGAGAATCAGCTAAGTGTAAAAACATAAAAAAATTTTGATTACATTCATGTGACTTTGCCGGTCCTCTTTTTCCGATGCCAGTTGAAGTGCGGTTTCGTGTACTTGTTTTAATTGCTCTTGCATCTCTTGTACAGTCTCGAATAGGTGCATTAGTCCTATAGGAAAGTATACAACTATATAGAATAGTCCTTGAAATGTCAATCTGACCGATAATATTTGTTATATTTATAAATAGGTAGTTAAGAAATAGTTTGATGGAAGGACAGATGGCTGCAATGATGAATAGATTCTCTACTTGATATTTACTCGTCGATAGGGAATTTATCATCATCATCATCATCATATCAGCCATTAACTGTCCACTGCTGAATATAAGCCTCTCCCTTGGGGGGGTTTTGTCACGCTTGACAGGCGGGTTGGCAATCGCAGTTAGGCTTTAAAGATGTTTTGAGAGGAACGCTGCCCATTCCTCGCCCTCCGTTAGCCGACTTTTATGATACCCATGGGAAAGGAAGGGGTGACTTATTCTATGCCGGGACCATATGGCAAATATATGATAGGAAAATCCCACATATGGTACCTAAATAGCCGCGGTGTGTTTTCATTGAAAAAATAATAGAATTGCTACAGCTAGTTTGAAATGGAACATTTGGCTCCTCAAATTAAAAAAACTTGACTGCTCTGTCAAAAACGGAACTCTTTTTAAAAAAAGTGTCTTTTGGTAGAATAAAGATATTTACATACGTACATGAACCCTGAAAGCATTTTACTATTTTTGGGCAGTCGAATAAAAAATGCCTTAATGGTCACGAAGGACGTGATACCATTGTTATTGCTATTCATAGTCTAAGATTATCGCTTTCTGTCGAGTGATTCTACCGTCATTGTATAAAAAAGAGAAGTAGTTGGTAATTTTAGGAAATTGAAACTACCTTGTAGGTCTTTTATCAGATCAGGAGACAACTTTCCAATAGTCAAGTTTTGTGTTAGAGCTGCTACTTGTTTCATCAAATATTCCAATTGATCTTGGAATGAATTGATCTGTAAAGTCAAACACATAATTTGAAAACAAGCCTTAAAACACTCAGATTACTTTGCAATCAAATAGTAATTTAACATTTAATATCAAATTTACACAAATATTACATATATATATAGTGACAATTTTTTTTTTGATAAGGGCATACAAATATATTAGGTAGAAAGTAAGTAATTTAGTTCTAAAAACCTTATTTTACTGATATGAGCGTTTGGAATAAGCAATGAAGTAATTTATGTGAGTCAAAAATACTTATATTTCACTAAACGGTATTTTTCCATTATTTCATAGTAGGTATTGGTGGTGGTGTTCTTATGTTAATAGATAAACAGGTAGCTTTGGCTATATTTTTGTTACTGTGTGTACCTGATCTGATATCACACCGTCGTTCTTGCCTATTTTATCGCAACATTCCTTCAGTCGCCTGTCTAGATCATTAATTCGTTGCACGAGGCCAGCTGATATTTCTGTGAAGGACCGGCGTGGTTGACGACGTTCTATTTAAATGGTATCACATATTATTATTATAAATAGGCATTATTGACATTTTATTTAATATTTGTTAGGTTTGTGATTTATACCTGCTGCTTGCGACGGAGTTGATGTAGGTGGCTCCATTGTTGGCGGAGCAGGTGGTGGCGGTGCTGAAATTTAAAATGTAATTATTAATAGAAGCTTAAAGTCTATTATTACAGGTGCATTCTTTTAACCAAGTAGCAGTAGAAAGTGGACATGATATTTTAGTAGGAGGTTCAATTTTTTTGTTATCTTTGACCCATGTTTTTCAGGGAGAATATTTAGTTTTTATAGTAGAACAGGTATTTCTTTAAAAGAGTGCTAATTACTTTCATTTTAACCTGTACAACTCAAATAAATATAAAATCAATATTTACTAAATCCAGCATGTAAATCTTCCATAGTAGTATAGAAAATGTTAGTCAGCTGATCAAGGTCCCCTCGTAAACGGTCTAGTCGAGCCTGTATCGAAATCAAGTCTTCTTTCGATGCATCCGGTGGACCAGCGAGAGTGTCTGAGGCAGTGGTCAAAGGAGCAGCAGCTGTCGGGGTAGAAGTTGGTGGAGCAGCTCCTGCTGGGGCAGAAGTCGGTGGAGCAGCAGCTGCTGGGGCAGAAGTCGGCGGAGTAGCAGTCGGTGCGGCAACAGTCGGCGAAGCAGTAGTTGAAGGGGTAATAGCTGATGGGGCAGTAGCTGACGTGGCAGTGGTTGTGGAAGGAGGAGCAGTGGCCGTTACTAGAGAGGCTGGTGTTGATCTGGATTTAAATAAGTTGTAAGTAAAGTATATTATAAATATTGGTGTATAGTGTGTAGGTTTTAGTTTATAATAGACTGAAAATATTTTCAGCTATTGATAATACTCTCTCGGATATATTAGGCTCCCCATAAAGAGTTACAAGGAATGATCCCGAGTCATATCCATCTATATCGATTTCTTGTAGTAAATCAAATCATGGAGCCCGTGGCTCTATGGCTTTCTACATGCAAAAGTTAACATAGGTAAATAATATATCGCGCACACCCACGTCTCGAAGAAAGCGCTGAAAAGGAGCACCGGGGGGTTTTAGCCGGTAAGAGTCCGGCAGTACGGCGGTCTGTATGAGAATTTCCCCTTGACAAAAAAAAAAGAAAAAATAAAAAAAAATAAAAAAAGGTAAATAATATATGTGATATTTTTTTTTGTGGAAAATGAAAAATAATCTAACATATTGAGAACCACACATCTAAGTGTTGTCGTCATAAAAAATTCTACGTGTATAGCGTACTATTTTTAGTTCTTTAAATTGCAATAAATATAATATAACATAGGAAATTTTTATTTTAACTTGTTTGTCAATGTAGCAAAGATCACTTTTTGATGCAAAATTTTAATGGAATTTTTTATTTCTTATAACACTACTTTTTGACTTTAACTGGAAAAGTTTTTTAATAAAGAGATTACGATTGGGTACTTACGTTTTAGATGCGCGACGTTTAAGGGCGTCCTGAAGTTCGGTAGTTTCACCTATCAAGTCGTGAAGTAATGAACTGAGTTTTGCGATGCCAGCTTCGGCTGCTTCCAGTCGAGATGAGACGTTCAATGATGTCCACATATCGGTAATGGCTTTTAGATTTGTTTGAGATCTAAATCATATTTAAACATAATTAGAGTTCAGAATAATGAGTTTAAAATTAAAGTTTGATGTCATATAAGGAGTTCTCAAGGGTCGTATTAGGCAATCTTATTCAAATATTTCCGAATAGATACGACATTAAAACCTTCAAGAAAAGAACACACTTCTTAAAAAGTCGCCAACATACTTGCAGTTTCTCTGATGTTGCGGATGCATATGGACAGCAGTAATAACTTACAACTAGGTGAGTCACATACTCATTTGCTCCTATTTCATAAAAAAGAAAAAATACTACTTGTATCTCTAAAAGAAATTTTTATTGACAAGATAAGACGACTGGCGACGGTTACCACTTTCCATCAGGTGGACCGTCAGTTTGTTTACCATTCTATGTTGTATAAAAAAAAAAATAACAACCTTTTCTAAGTTAGCTCATAAGTAGGATATTATAAATGGTTGTACTTTCAGTGGTAGGTGTTATATTCGTTTGGACAAAGACGACGAAAATAGGCGTGAGTAACACTTTTAGATTCACAAAACATCACGGGCACCTATGATATACTATGTACTATATCTACGTAATCACTACATAGTATAAACGCTTCTCGCTGTCTATCTCTATATATGCTTAGATCTTTAAAACTACGCAACGAATTTTAATGCGGTTTTTTTAATAGATAGAGTGGTTTAAGAGGAAGGTTTATATGTATAATACATGCATAATATAATAGAGAAACATTGATAATTTTAGATATTTTTGTTGGGCCGGCAACGCTATTTAGTATCAGCATTGCACCCGTGCGAAGCCGGTGCGGGTCGCTAGTTATATATAATAAAATTAAAAAGCTTCCGTGTCCAATATTAATTTATAATAAATTGATGACACTTTTCTGGGGTCTTGAGTACTTCTTTTTTTGTTATTTTCTACTTATTAGAGCTCTCAATATTAAATACCTTTTTTTAAATATTATAGTTTCTTAATTTTTTAACTATTTAATGGATACGAAACATTGCAAGTGTTGCTGTTACGCAGAATATTTTATAATGTAATACGGCAGATGGCATGTAAATCAAATATGACTGTACATTTAAGATTTGATATTATAAGTCTGACCTGACTTCTTCAAGAATAGCTTCATTCTTTGGTATACTTCCATAAACCCGGTTCTTTAAGTCTTCCACGGTGTTTTCTAGTACATTAAATTTGCTGAGGGTAACGAGGGAGAGCTTCTCAGAGGACGTCAGGTGGGCAGGAGGCGGTGTTGGTGCTTGTGGTGGTGCGGGTGAGACGTGCGGGTCGGGGGAACGGTCGCGGGGCGGACCACGGATGGCTGTTTTGTTGTTAACATTTTGATGAAATTAATTGCAATTTTTTTTATAAAAATAACACCAGAAATTTATGGAGGATTGTTTATAGAAATATAAGTATAAAAAACTAATCCCGATTAGATATTATGGCCTTGTAACAAATGTAGTTAAGTATTTAGTATGAAAACTTATCTATTATCTGTGGACATGTATTTAACATATTTGCCTTTACTGGCAAAATGATTTTTAAGTTAGGAATACGATTATAGGTATCATTATATAATAAACAAACAAACAAACTAAATAGACTCCTTAAATACCTTTTTTTTTAATTCCTATATTTTTATTTTAATTAACCAACTTTTTTTGACAAATTGTAAGAATAAGATGTTCCATATGATTTATTGCAAATATCCTGATTTCTTACTGAACATAGGCCTCCCCCATTAAGGAGGTTTTTGCCAGTAGCTGCCACACTTGGCATGTGGGTTAGCCACCGCAGTTAGGTATTGGTGATGTTTTAAGGCTCTGCTTCAGTTTCTGCTGAGTCGCCACTTACGACACCCACGGGAAAAGAAGGGGTGGCCCATTCTATACCGGGACCATACGGCTATACTATTAATATACCAAGCGGGATTATTATTCCATTATTATTAATATACATATAGTCTTTGTAGATACGATTATCCTCACATATATATAAATTATAGATTGATTTGGAATTATCTTTAATAAAAAATTAAAGGTTAGTTAACTTACATAGGGCATCTGATTTTTTGATCCTTTCAACTGTAAAAAAATGTATCATTCGTATAATAAGTATAATTTTTTTTATACAACTTTGAATGGCAAACAAGCTGACGGCCTACCTGATGGAAAGTGGTAAACGTCGCCTATAGACATGAGTAGTACCATGGACATAACAGAGTATACTGTTTCGCCCATGATACCCCTCATACATTGCCATTCCTAAGGACTCAGGTGTTATTCCTCTATACCCAGTAAATTCACGCCATATACCATCCTTCAAACTGAAACACAGCCATGCAAACACAACTGCTTCACGGTTGAAACACGAATGGGACAGAGGTACCCAAGCAATCGACTTTTGTACAAAGTCTCCCTCTGGTAAATGATATAGTAGTATAAACAAATAATAAAATCATTGATAAATAAAATAATATATTTACCGACTAAAATGGTTGCTGTTTCGGTCGTCGTGACGGCGGTGGCTGTAACAAAACTATTTTTTAAACGATTTAAAAAAAGATGATAATTGCTTTATTAATTATAAACGGATTTTGATGATTGTTTTTTAATCAAAACATTTATAGTATTTTTAAATTATTTACGATTTTTTTTATATAAATAGATATATATGTATATTTAATATAACTTTTCTACATACCTAATTCTGATTTCTTTAATTCTTTTTCTGGTGGCTGTAAAACAGAGATTTTACTAAATTTATGTAATATATACAAATAGAATAAAGCACTATAAATGTAAGAGAAGGAAAATTCGAGATGTGTGATATAATCACATGACAATAATTATTCGTGGAATAAGTGTGATTACTTAATTTATATTAACTGGAAATAGATATCTACGTGTCTCTTGTCTAATAAATATTATTAAATATATGGTGCTAGATATATGAGTCAGCTCCATATAGTACAATGAAATTTATTTTTTACTTAAATAACTAATACATTCAAAATTTAGCCAAATTATTACAGTTACACATGCTTACGTATTTGTATTGTGTGGGGATTGAACTTGTAACTATTTTTTTTAATGGATGATAGTGGAATGGTAGCCCCACCCGCGCTATCGGTATATACCGGCTGAGCATCAGTGAAGGATGATAGGTGAGGATGAAGAGGGTCAGTTAGCCCATCGTGACGAATTCAACAAGAATTGTTCACGATGGTTTCCAGGGGGAACCACGTGGGGGTCGACCTAATAAGGTATATTGCTAGCAATGGGGCTGTCAAATTACATTACTAACAATCCCTTTCTCCCCCACCTGTAACCATTGGAAGGTAAGGTGGCCTGTTAAATAGCTTGGAATACAAATTTATGAAGTATATATATGATGACGTAGTCATGTAGGTGCGGGTTTAGAATAAAGCACCCTTTTCTTTCTCGTAGGTGTCATATAAGGTGACTAAGGAGGCTTTATAGTGGAGAAATGGGCAGTAGAGTCCCTCTTATAATATTACCAAAAGCCAAGCTGCGCTTGCCAATCCGCCTGTCAAGTGTTTTTTTATACAACTTAGAATGGCAAACAAGCTGACGACCCATCTGATGGAAAGTTATAACCGTTGCCTATAGACATGAGCAGTATCATGGACATAACAGAGTATACTGTTACGTCCATGATACCTCCCATGCGTTGCCATTCCTGAGGACTCGGATGTTATTCCTCTGTACCCTGTAAATTCAAGTGTGGCAACTATTGGCAAAACCATTCTTATGGGGGAAGATATATTCAGCAGTGGACAGTTAAGAGCCGATACAACAATACAATAATATGTTAAGACAGATTGTTTTTGATTTATCATACTGTATCCGTATCCACAACATATTCGCTGATTGATATAGTCTGTGTGTTTGCTCGGCCAATTGGTAAACCCGCAACGCTGCCTCTGAGCTCTACATTCTTGCCAAGAACCCTGAGTTGCTGGGCCAAACAGTGTAGAACAGCCTGCAGCATATTAAAGTCCACCACTCCGACCTATGGGGTTTTGGTATAATAAACCTTAGAAACAGATACCTACATAATGGTAAAGTCTATAAACGCCTACGACTCAATTAGGGATTATAGTACTGAGTAAATTTTTTAGATTTATAAATAAATTTATCTAAACAAATATTATAAAGAGGATATATTTGATTTCATCTTTGTAATAGATAAAGTAAAAAAAAAATCAATTAATTTTAAAAATTATGTTTGAATTTATGAAAGAATTTTTAGAATCGGTTGAGTAGTTTTTGAGTTTATCCATTACAAATAATGAAGTTTTTCTCTTTATAATATTAGTGTAAAAAAAAGCTAAGGTGGCGGTTTCAGGTATGTCACACTAGACTAAAATTACCAAAAGTCTTCTGTAGTCTTTAAACTTCTATTTCTATGTTTACTGTATATAATATACGAATATACAGTACCTCTGGTGTGCCAATGGCCAAGTCAATCATATCACTGATGTTCAATAAAACAGCGGTCTTGTCTGTAATAGCATATATAATACTTGTTTTTTTTTTCTTAAAATACTTCAACAAAAATGTTTCTTATTATATTATCTAGGTAGTGAAAGTTTATTCTTAAAAGGACTAAGCAGATATGAATGAAATTTGGTACACATAGAACATATCCTAGGTTATTTTTTTTTGAAGAATGAAGATTGGTTCGCGTCGTAACTGGTATGTTTCTGAAAATATTGTAAATGAGGTATCATTAAATCCCAATCATTAATCGCACAAGAAGGAGATGGCATTAACATTTTTAAGTTTTTATTTCATGTTTTTTATACTAGTATTTCTGATACAACAAGGTCATAATAATATAAGGGTCCTATTATTTGGCTACTAAACTATAAAAAGTAGTTTTTGATCGAACACTATTGTAACACTAAATAAAGGACACTAAAAAATTGTATTTGTATAAGTAATTGTACCTATATCTCGAATTTTAGGAAAATTTTTGTCGTGTATGCTGAGTCTAATTCCTTTTAAAAACAACTTTGTTAATAATGCATTTTATAAAATATTCTTTATAAGTATTTTGAAACTATTAGTCTTGAAAATGAATCTTTATGGAGTGGGTACTCACCGGCCATAGTAAAACTTTAATGAGATTTCTTCTGGTAAGGTTCTTCTTTTACACAATTATATTTATTAAAAACTAAAATAAATCTAAAAAAAATAATTACGATATTTTTACAAAACGCAAAAATCCATTTTGGCAATACTATTAATACGAAAACACGTTGACAATAATGACATATGTGTATGAATTTGATGTTATGTACAAAAAGGTTTGAATTTTATCTAAAAAACTTTATAGCTTCGTGTTCGCATGACGAATAGTGATATACGGATTGTATACAATTTAAAGTTACTTCAAAAAGGAGGAGTTTCTCATTTCTTCCTTATTTTGTGTGTAGGTATAATACGCGTGATCATATCACACGGACTACACGAAGTACATGTATTCTCATAAGACGTTTCATAGATGTACTTCGATTTGTGTATGCCCTATATTCTTTCCTCAGTTAGCATAGCAAATTGTCTGACCATTACAGAGAAATCTAGGTCTCCTATTTACTACCTTCATCCTTCTACTTTCATATTTTAAATTCGTTTCGTCGACCTTTCATTTGATATTTGCCCAAACCAACGTAGCATGTTCTTTCTCATTTATACCGACATTTTATTTTAAGCAAACTCGCTCTCGCACTGCTGAATACGGTATGCGGTCTACACAGCAAATTCAGTGCAATTCTTTCATTTTAACTGTATTTATTAAATTACCATTCTCTCGCAATCAAGGCGACTATGGAACTATATATAAATAAGTTACGATTATGGTTGTCGAATCCTTCTTAACGTGAAAGTGTTTGAGGATGGATGAATGTTTGTTACTCTTTTACGCAAAAACTACTGAATGTGGTAAACAGACAAGCTATATCTAAATTTAACATATAGAATATTTTATATACAGATTTATGCAGGCAAAGCCGCAGATTATAGCTAGTGGTTTGGCGGTGACTTGACATCGGTGTTTATGTGACATTTCGCACGTTGGTCTGCAAATTGAACTGCAATTTCTAATCTTATCACGTTGGTAATACAATAGCGGTTCCAATAAACGATTAGGTCACTCCATAAAATTATCGAGTCATTGTTCAAGGAAAAACTTTGTTCCGCCGCTACGAAATTCCCGTTAAGGAGCGACATTGAATTGTATGCAATGTCTATGAATAGGGAGTTCTCGGCTCCTTTAATAGGATTTAAAAGTGGCGGCGTGCGGGTGCCCGGCTCTATTTTAAGCGCCGGGGTGACTTGTGAGTGCTTTGCCATGTCACGCCCTTGGTGCTCCGAGTCTGAACCCACTTTGTTGCTATGCTTGCCACATAATGGCTGGACGCGTTTGTCTGCGTGAATTTACCTACTTTAATCTTTATAAAACTCTGGGGGTATTAGTAAGTATAAATCATGGACTACGACCTTCTGAAGCAGGTATAGACAAAAGGACAGCTAGATTAATATTATAAAGAGAAAGGATTTGGTTTTCTGTTTAAAATGAATAATCTCAGTAAGGATATATAGGAAGCTACATTATTAGCAAGAACGGCTGTATTTTTTTAAAGATTTCCTGTTTACCCGTTCGAAGTCAGGGCTGGTCGGTAGTAAAATTTAATAATATTGTAATTATAGATGTTGCTGTCCAAAAGAGTAGCTATTTCAATAGTGTCAATTTTTTCAGGAGTAAACTATATTGATTGTAAAATTCTTTATTAACTATAAAAAACTAATTTTTTTTCCTAAAATATCTCCTAGTTTCTTCTAAAATATCTTTAAAGCATAACCGTTGTTGCCAATCAGCTTGCCAAGCGTGCCGACAAAACCGCCCAAGGAAGAGGCTTATATTCAGCAGTGGGCAGTTAAAGGCTGATATAATGATGATAGTACTTTTAATTTTTATACGAGATGATATAAGATGCATTTAGGAGTTCAAAGCACAGTTCATTCGTGCAGGAAAATGAAAAGTCGAAGTAAAATTAGATATATATTGATACTGCATCAGGATTGTAACAGAATGTTTTATATTTATAAATAAGCTATCAATACTAAATAAGGGTTTGTAAATATATTGTAATGGTGATTCTTGTGATATTTAAATACTCATCACTTATCAATTATCGCAATATTGTCAAAAACTATAGATCAAATGTAGAGCGTCTATGGTATTTAATTCTATGAACAATTAAATTACAATTATATATTTGTCTCGTAACAGTAATAAAATTAGATAAATCGATAATAACTTGTCCCAAATCTAAATAGTTGCCATAAAAAATATATCATGCAAAACTTTCAAAGTTTGCTTCTAAAATATTATAGAAAGGGTAAAACTATTTTTTTACTTAATATTCATATTAAAAAATCACTGGGGTCGGTAGTATTCGTAAATAAATTACACATTGTTTATTTACCAAAGGGTGTAATTTCTGAAGGTCACCGTTATCGATGTGCGTGACATTTGGGAACCCCACTTTCTTTTTTGATTGCGTGTCGAAATCTTGCATTAAAGTAAAACTACGCTTCAACCAATCGATTTAAATATTTTGATATTTAAACATAATAAAAGTAAGTGTACCTACTCAGTTCTATTTATTAAAGTTATATCTTTTTAATCAATTTGTCCTAAAGCAGATTTTTTGTTTATACTCTATGTGTTCGTATTGTGAAATGTGGAAATAAGATTGATGGATTTGGCACGATTCACTGAGATGGCTGTATATTAATTGCAATGGGATTGCATTAATATCTTTTAAAAATTGAGGTCGACAGTTTGTACGCTTACTGAATAATGACGGAAGTATACTGAATGTGAGTGTGGCGTACCCGATCTATAGTTAGGTTGTATATAATTTAATAAACTATGGGTGTTCAATTTTAACTCAATAATTACTTGGTAACATTATCGATAAATAGGGATATTGTTTTTTTTTTTTTTGTTTTTAGTAGGCGACAATAGATTTATTTAATTAAGAATTTTATTATCAACGGTAACTTTTTATAAAATTAATTGTCGTTATTATTTGCAGTGTAGGTTCCGGCATAGAATGGCGACTAAGAGAGCTTATGGTAGAAGGATGGGCAGCAGCGTCCCTCTTAAAACAACTCTTAAAGCCTAACTGCGGTTGCAAACCCGCCTGCCAAGCGTGGCAATTACTGGCAAAACTCCTCTTATGGGGAAGGCATTGGATAGTTAATGGCTGATATGATGATGATTAAAGCATACATAATTTATCAAGCATTGGGTTTCGTTTCACACGAAAATGTTGCACTGATTTAAGGAATAACTTTTAAATTCGAATTTTGAAACGAAATTACTTCGAATACATTTCCAAACAGACGTTCCTTTATACATATTTTACGTGCATTTGATGTAATTAGGCACGATATAATCACAATTCGTTTTTTACATCTCGAATGGATATCCACTCTATTTATTACTATGAACAACCTGTGGTTTACTTATTGTTTGCGACATTACAGGCGAGTGTAAATATTGAAGTGAATGTAGTCCGAATGACAAATTTTATGGTATAAGATGTTATGGGAATGATGAGCACGGGATTGCAGAAGACTTTTTTTTATACAACTTAGAATGGCAAACAATTTAAAGGCCCACCTGATGAAAAGTGGTAACCGTCGCCTATAGACATGAGCAGTACCATGAACATAACAGAGTATACTGTTTCGCCCATGATACCCCCCATGTGTTGCCATTCCTGAGGACTCAGATGTCCACTGTACCCTATAAATTCACGCCATATCCCATCTTTCAAACCAAAACACAGCCATGCAAACACAACTGCTTCACGGTAGAATCACGAATGGGACAGAGGTACCCAAGCAATCGATTTTTGTACAAAGTCTCCCTCTATTATAGAAAGATTATTATAGACTATAGAAAGAGCGACAAGATGGGGACGAAAAGAATTTAATTTATCAAAATAGATTAGAAAAGAGTATTGTTAAAAGAGAGATACACAAAATAGTTGAGATGAGGGCCTAAAGCAATAATAGTTATAGATCGCGTATGTCACATGCGCAATTAATATACTCAGTTCTTAACAGTTGACCAACATTTTAAAATATGGCTTGGTAGTATATTTTTTGTCGTTATTTATTTGGTAGTACGTAGGTATCATCAATATATTAAGTAATATGAGTCATATACATTTTAAGTACTTGGCCGAGTAATATACATTGGTATTATGTAAGTAGGTATGTACGTAAAGTGCGTTGGTTCATTCTTGATAATTATTTAATTAAACAACAGACCAAGAATCAGGCTTCTTTATGTGGTGTTTTTAAATATTGACGTAGGATATACGTAGCGAGATAAAGTGTGAAAACAACGGTTAATTGATTCGGCTACATTAAGCCAAGGGGTCAGTTTGTATCAGTGATTATATTTAGGCAACTAAAACGTTTTCATTGTTTATTTGTCTTGTTAACAGTTCGCCGGCGTTGTGCATACGCTGTATGACTGGACATGCGCCATACAGCGATGCTGCAATTTACGAGGACTCCAAATGATAGATAATAATATCCAAATTACAGTGTATGGCCGGCCAGCCGATAAGTTTCATTCGTTCAACAATCCCGTGAGAGAAATATTTATAATCTGGAGTAAGTACATACTCAAACTGTTTTACCTGTCTTCGTGAAGTGTTTGCTTTGGTTCATATTTCGCCGAAATGTGAGGCTTCTCATATTTTTTATCCGGCAGGTGACCGATCGCGAGAGTGAGACGGGTGTCTCTCGAATAGCGTACGAACGAAAGCTCGAGGATTGAGAATAGTCTCGCGTTGGCTCGACTCGAGGTTGATCGTTTCGTTGCGTTCGACCTGATAAACAAGTTGAAACGTCAAAAAGTTTACGTAGTTGTAACAGAGACCGGCGTTTAATCGTCCATTTGTGACAGAAACAGTAAATAATAACAAATGCAGTGTATTTAACGTTTATTTAAGTTGTACGCTTAGTTTTTGGTTACGTGCGTAAGCTGACTAGTTTTTTTAAAAGATCGTGTCTTCAATTTTGTGGAAAGCAGCGACTTGAGTGCATGCGAGATAGATCCTGTTGCACCTTTATTAACGGTGAGTGTTCATAATATTTTTGACACTCTTTTTTTTGATATTTTATTGCTAAGTCTAAATGTAGATTGATGTAAGTATAATGTAATTATGTATTATTATTATACTAGGCACTTGGTTTAGTTTTTTTTGTGAGAATGTGTGCTTATCCATATACCAAAAAAGGGACTAGTGAGAGTAAAGTAACATTAGAAAGTGCCTTAATAAAAAGTTACATTTTGCTTGTTTTTATTCTACGAAATTCTGCTATTAAACTGGCTACACAATATCAGTTTTAGTGCTTATTGATTGCTTTTAACTGACTATTAATGTTGACGTAAACAGCACTAAGTTACATTAAATAATTCACAATTTTGCTTAAACATGCAAAGTTTTAACTCAACAGTTAAAAATGTAAGTATGTAGCGGGCATTAGACTAGACTAGAAACTAGAAAAGAAATTACCATCTATGTAATGTGTAATTTTGTAATTTAATGCCACATACAATTTCTGGTCAGTAGAGTCTTTGTAATAACAAAGCTGTTCGATAGAATATAATTTCAGGGCTAAGTCTGATTTTATCACATACTGAATTTTTTTTTAAAAATATAAAACTGACCGCTCAACTTAAATCCCAGAATGTGTTTTTAGAGAAATAAATATTATACAGTATATTATTTAACGTAATTCCTTCCTTAAAATTAATGTTCATCTATACTTATAATAAATCTGTAGAACAAAATAACTATCAGGAGGTAATTAATGATCGATACTGATGCCAAAAATGCAATCAGTAAAATTATTGTCTGTCTGTCTGTATGTTCGTTATAGAAACAAAACTACTCGACGGATGTTAACGAAACTTGGTACAATTATTCTTCATACTCCTGGGCAGTTTATAGTATACTTTTCATCACGCTACGATCAATAGGAGCAGAGCAGTGAAGGGAAATGCTAAAAATGTCCACCCGTGTGACGCCGGGACGGGCCACTAGTATAAGAATATTTTAATAGGGTCTCAAAAAATTTTCTTTTTCTTAGAAAAAACAAAATTGAAAAACCATAAACTGAAAAACATTTTTTTTTGTATAAAAGAAAATATCTTTATCTACTAATATTTTTTTTTTTTTTATACAACTTAGAATGGCAAACAAGCTGACGGTCCACCTGATGGAAAGTGGTAACCGTCGCCTATAGACATGAGCAGTACCATGCACATAACAGAGTATACTGTTTCGCCCATGATACCCCCCATGCGTTGCCATTCCTGAGGACTCAGGTGTTATTCCTCTGTACCCAATAAATTCACGCCATATCCCACCCTTCAAACCGAAACACAGCCATGCAAACACAACTGCTTCACGGTTGAAACACGAGTGGGACAGAGGTACCCAAGCAATCGACTTTTGTACAAAGTCTCCCTCTGGTAAATATAAATAAAATATATCTATATATATATATATATATATATATATATATATATATATATATATATATATATATATATATATATATATCTGGTAAATACTAACTATACTAACGGTATTATATCACAGACTACACAGTATAAGGTACTTATGTACTTACATATCTACCTAATATTTTTAGTGATATAATTTTTTTTTGTTTTTTAATACTCTATTAACGAATATTGAATTTATTAACAAACTATATATAGGCACTTTTCATTGTGGAGTTGCGAGTTCCTTGGCGTTTATACACATATTATACTATAATTGAGATGGTAAAGAATACATAAAAGTACATTTGCTGATTGAACACTTATGAATGCAATATTTAACTGTTACTACTCAATGAGAGAATGATAATAGAAAAAATATTTACCTTTTCTGAAAGGATATTTCAAGTATGTTCTGAATGAATATACAATTTCAAAAGTAAATATAAATAATATATTTTTTATTAATAAATTTATATTTAAGTTAAGTAGACTGTTGTTATCATATCATTAGATCTATTATAAGAGTTATTACAAGAGATTTATTTTTTAGATTACATAGTGTAAGGAACTGGTGTCTGAAGTAGTATACCATAAACATAGGTTATGTTACACATTACCAGGTCCTCACCCCATGGTATTGGCACTGTTACACAATTTGATCTGGTTATAAATATAAATACAAGACTAATATACTTTATTTATAAATTTAATTTGAAGATTAATATTACATGATTAATAACTTTAGGTATGTATATTAATAATTCTATATATCCTATAAACATTTACACATACATTATTATTTTAATAATATTCCTTTACTGTTATAATTTATTTATGTCAACATCGAAGTTAGTGATGTATATTTTTATGACAAATTTTATTTAAAGTGCATGGATATTACGTATTTTGACAGCTATTTAGAATATTCGTAATAATTATTTTACACGAAAACAAACGTCAGATTTTTCCTTAAGTGAATGCGGGAAGGATGTTTTGACTGCAAATTATAGGTATTATAATAGGTGCCTAAGCACTTACCAATGTGACAAACAATACAGATTTTATTTAACTATATTTAGGTATAGAAGTTTCAATATACCTATTAATACACTTCAATCTTGATTGACAGGTGTTAAGAAGTTACAACAAGAAGATTAATCATGTGAAATCATGGTAGAATAACAAAATTTGATAGACTGTGACGTCACGTCACGATCTAAAACAGGAGGAAATTATAAATTAGTTATATTTTCTTGTATATTACAGAAAGTGTCCTGTATTTTGAATTAATTTTGACTATTCTTTTTTTTAGCCGTGTGGTTTTAGCATAGAATGGTTTATTTCTTCCTTTTCCGTCGGTGTTGTAGGAGGTGACTAGAGAACTTAATGGTCTAGATATGGGCAGCAAAGTCCCTCTTAAAATATCAACAAAGCCTAACTGCGATTGCATATCCGCATGCCAAGCGTAGCAACAATTGGTAAAACCCCCCAAGGGGGAGGTTTATGTTATTTAAGCAAATATTTATTTATTTAATTCTTTATTGTACACGTCAATTATTTATAAGAATATAACAGAGGTAATCAAATGAACAAAGGCGAACTTAACTCTAATAGAGTTTTCTTCCAGCAAACCCAAAGTGGAAAAAGAGCATCAATGTCAGCGGGTAGAGGGGTGTACAATATTGTGACAATAATGTATATTTATGTATATGTATACACATATACATATACATAAATATACACCTATATATACATACATATACATAAATATTCACCTATATATACATACATACACACAAATATAAAGAATATTACTTATCTATAAAATAATTTGCATCATTTTGTTATGTTGTTATCAATCTACCCTATAGAATAGAATAGAATAGAAAATCATTTATTCAAATAAACTTACATTCAAGCACTTTTGAAAAGTCATTACATTTTTTTTTTAATTTACCGCTCGTTCGGAAAGCTGTCGAAACACAAGAATAACGAGCAAGAAAATTGCGTTATGCTCTTTTAAATAATTTTATTATTATTTTACATTTTTGTTATATTGTGTGAATACAAACCACCAATTAGCACTAATTCAATTAACTCAAAAAGAAAAAAAAAATTGGTGAACAATTTAAAACATCAAAGTAAACTGGGTCAGAGTGAATATAAATTAATGCAGTGATGCTATCTCCCAAAGTAACAGGGAGTCAGCGCAACGGCTCGGTGGACCGTAGCGGGCTATTGTCATTCAATCGGCCATTGTGGGCTCTTTGTCGGCGGTTGCAGCCCAGCCCAGCCTGTAGAGCCGGTCATTCGATACGGGGAGCTAGTTGGAATACAATTAAAGTTAGACTTACAGATCCATGTAAAATGTACCGATAATATGTACTCGCTACAGTTGTATTTGCCTTTTTTATGCACAATTCATTTATATATACTAAATTAATTGCGTTCGAGATATCGACCGTTTATCAGAAATATGTTGAATAACCGAGTTACAGAGTATCCTATATCTTATCTCTACTCTATGCCAAATCCTATGTACGAGTTCCTACTCTAGTAGGTACATATCTATTTACTTGTTTGCCAAATTTCATGACTATGTAACAAATAAGTCCAGTTTTACGTTGATTGTATCACTAGCTTTTTGCCTGCTATTTCGAACGCGTAGAATATGCGTGCGAAGTAGAAAATTTAAGGAAATGAATTACTATTGATATACATGGTATATCAAGATAATGCATATATTTATACCATTAATAACAAGTTACATTCATACATATCACCTTCTCGCTGCTGTGAAAAATAAGCACCCGAAACACTGTCAAAATAAATTACGCGTGCAAAATTAAATAGCTAGACTAGAGAAATAAATTCATGTTTTATCAAATCGAAGCTTAAGTCATTAAGCTTAAGCTTAATACTCATCTCCCAATCGCGAACCAAATAATATTGGAAAAAAAAATGCATATATCAGATTTTAAGTTAAATAAAGATCTATCTATCTATCTAGAAGACAAATATGAAAATAATTTCCAATTAAGTGTAGTAGTTTTTGCATGTTCGAACAACAGACAGACAGACCGACAGACAGACAAAATTTTAAAAAGATATTTCTATCGCTTTTATCAATTTATCTTAAATGTCTTCTAGTAATAATTGTAAAATTCGGAAACCTTAAAATAGATTTATTTGCAAGTAGTGTAATACCAATTGTATAATTAATTGTAATATTTTTGTATTGTTTTCACATTAAAATGGAATTATTTATTTTTCTATACATATGTTCCATTTGCCATAATTTTAAATTCCACCAACAAAACTATTGCTTATCAGTCTACGGTACAGACATTGTTCACATAAAATATTAATTATATTATTTAACTTTCGAAAATAATATATAACCTATTTTACTAGCCGATAATGTGGCTTTTTATAGCTAAAAGAATTATTTAAAATTAGTTCAACAGTTTTTAAGTTTATCTATTTTACAAATAAACAAACAATTAATTTCTCTTTATTATATTAATATAGAAATACAGATAATAATAAATTGTATTTGAA